CTTCCAACTCTTTGATTCTATGATTGACATTTGTTTAATTTGCGTGTTGTTTTATGAGCCAATTATTCCATTTGCACCTTTCTGTTGCAGGCCAGGAATATAACAATCTGCGTTGAATTTAAAAGTTCAGATGAAGAAGGGGCCAAGCCAGTGAAGGTGAGTAAAGATGCATCCCATTTGCAACATGTGTCAAACATTATATTGCAAATGGAAACTCTACAACAGAAACGATTCTACTCATGTCTCTTTTAAAATGTTAATAGCATGATATAACCTTGTATATTTCTATAATTCTCCATTGTAATGGCAAACATCATGGGAAACAGTTAGAAATCTTCATTCTATATTATTTTTAAAAGGATTTGAAGAGGTGGAAGGACTCTGGGTGATATAAGGGTGGACTTATACCTATGTTTTTCCATAGACATGTAGGCTAATTTAAGTTAAGAGAACAATAAAGGATCACAAACTTCAGTAGTTAATAACATAACTGTGAAATTTAAAGTATGATCTCTCCAAATAGTGTATCTATGGGAAGCCAGGTGGACCACCCTTTACATCAGCAGCATACACAGCTGTGTTACATCATTCACAGAACCCTGATTTCTATGATGAGGTAAGTCCTTCCTTTCTTTTACTAGACACAAATCAATGAATAGATTTGCTTAATGTAAGTTTTACAAAATCAAGACTCTTAATGTTGCCTGGAGTAGTTTATGTGGCTTATGATTTACACCTACTTTTGAAAGTAGTTCAGCATATGGTGATATTTTGGCAGATATTTTTGGCAGTGTCTGTCTCTCCCAAAGTAATTGCACTCAGTAACAAGGTAGAATTTTGTACTCATATATGCCCTGGATGAATAATATGTTCTTTCTCAGTATAAAAAAGAAGCATCTTTTTGAACTGAGCTTTAGGAAATATTAGATAATTAGGTATAAGACCAAATTAATCATGATCAAATAAGTCCGTGTTTTGCTAGTATTGGAATCCATTTAAACTGATATATGAAACCTTTTACATTTCAGGTGAAAATTGAGCTACCTACTCAGATCCACAAGAAACACCACATTCTATTTTCATTTTACCATGTTACCTGTGACATAAATGCAAAAGCTAATGCCAAAAAGAAAGAAGCTCTGGAAACATCAGGTACTTCGTTGTTTGAATGCCCATAACTTGCATTATTTCTATATGCTTATATTATTAAAATTTGGGTCAATTATTTAGTACAATAGCTGTGATATTTCTCTGGTTAGTAAAGGTAAGGGTTTCCCCTGACATTAAGTCTAGTCATTTCTGACTCTGGAGGATAGTGCTCATCTCCATTTCTAAGTGAAAGAGCCAGCATTGTCCAGAGACACTTCCAAGGTCATGTGGCAAGCAGGACTGTATGGAGTGCTGTTACCTTCACACCACTCCCTGAACCATCAACCTTCTGGTCAGCAAGTTCAGCAGCTCAGCTGTTTAACCCAGGGGCCCCATTTCTCTGGTTATTTTGTTTAATTTGGGTGGTTCTTCAAACAAAACAAAAAGCTACAGTGATAATATCTCTTTTTGGTTGCAGTTGGATATGCTTGGCTCCCTTTGTTAAAAGAGGATCAGCTAACATCTCAAGAACATAGCATACCAGTGGCAACCAGCCTGCCTCCTGGTTATCTCAGCCTTCAGGATCCTGCAACTGGAAAGGTATTTTGTAGTTTACACGGTTGCTCCTCTGTCATAACAAAGCACATTTCTTCAATGACACGATGGTAATGTAGCATATTTTCTACATCTAGTTGGGTGTGGAAGTCAATTCACTCCTCTCACACTATCTACCTCATCTCATTCCTTTCTTCTCTCTATCTTTCCTCTTTCTCTTTCTCTCTCTCTCTCTCTCTCACACACACACATCCACACAAGTTATGCCATGTAGAGTCCATGTGATAATGTAAATCACTACCTGTGTTGATTTATGCTTACAAAAATTGTAAGCCATCTATTCCCTTCATGTGGTGGATAATGTAATGGATACTTGCACAGAAATGATTTTACATGCAAATTGGGCTTCTTGAGAAAGTTTATTTTATGTTTAGTAAATACGACACTGAAGTACAATGTGAAGCATGCATCAGTATTAAGACACTTGGGTGTTTTCCAAAGGCATATTGATCGGTATCCTCATAAACTTCTGGGACTGGGAGAGTCCTGAGCTGACATCCTGAGCTGACATCCTGTGAATGATGTAAATTTCATCATCTCCTGCAAGGTATTAATGGAGGAACTTTATAAGCTGATGACATACAGTCCAGCAAAATCCAAGAGGTTTAAATTGCCTACCCATTTTATGAGGCAGAGATAGGCAACTACTAGAAATAAAAGGCCCAGATTATCCTCACTATAGGACTTGGCGATTTATGTTTGGCATGGCATGAGGACACATAGAGGCTGCAAAAATGCTCTGAATTATAACTTGTGACCTGCATGCTTCTCCATCCTAGGACATTTTCAGAAATAAAAATGGTAGCTAAAACAGTAAATAGCCAGGAAAAGTACCCAGCCATTCATCCTCAAATTGTAGCCTACACATTTGGCACTGGTCCAGATATTGTAAGCTTGATCATATGCTTGGTGTGTCATAGAATGTTGGTTGACATTGTTGTTGTGTGCCTTCAGATCAACTTTGACCTGTGATGGCTGTTCATAAGATTTTCTTGGCAAGATATATTTGGATGAGGTTTGCTATTGCCTTCCTCTGAGGCTAAATGTGATTTGGCCAAAGCCACCCAGTGGTTTTCCTGGGCCAAACCCTGGTCTCATAGAGTCCCAGTTCTACACTCAAAACCACTCTAGACCCCAACAAAACATAATAGGCCACAAAGCAACATAGTCACACTTGCTGTGTATTGCAAATTAAGGAATTCAGTGGGATTTTTGTCATTTTCTTTCTCTGTATTGCTTACAGCACAGTGGAAGTGACATTAAATGGGTAGATGGTGGGAAGCCACTCTTCAAGGTGTCTTCATTTGTTGTATCAACAATTTATACTCAGGTATGTTCTTTATATTTTCTTTGATTTCTGGAAAAGACAGCGTGCATCAGTAGAATGCTTGGATTTTATGCATAAAAGGATGAGGTATTCTGCTTTGATACTGTCATGAAAAACATATTTTAAGGCTGATGCTGAAGTATTTGGCATCAATTACTGATATTTCATTTCAGGTCCATTTTTTTACAATTATATTACTGTTTATTCATTTAAAATGCAATTCAGCATTGCTCTAGCTAAATATTCTTTCTTATATTTGCTGTTTGTAGGACCCATATCTGAATAGATTTTTTCAACAGTGCCAAAAAAGAAACAGGGATCTCTCCCAACCACCTACCTCAAATTTCATCATCTCCTGCAAGGTATTAATGGAGGAACTTTATAAGCTGATGATAGAAATCATGGCTAAGTATTTATGGTCTGGAAAAAAATTGATGCTTTTAAACTTAGATATAATTTTATCATGTAATTGGTTGTGTAATTATTAGGTTTTATTTAATTATCGGTTGTTTGATGTTAGTTTGGGATCAGGTGGGATGTTAATATATTCATGTTTGCACTTGTGGTGAGGCTTTGAATGTTTGCCTCTGTGTTTTTTGTTTGTTGGAATCTGCACTGATTCCCCTTGGGGAGATAGGGTGGAATGCAAATAAAATCAGATTAATAGTAATGGATAATATATTTCTGAATAGCTTCATGTTAGTATGTAAAAATATATTTTCAGAAATTAACTTAAAAGTTAATAAGCCATTAAAATGTTTGTTAATTCATATCTTGTTTAGCTCATAACTGACTCATAATGGGCTGAATTATAATGTTAATACTGACTAGAGTAAAACTATTAAATCAGTGGGATTTATATTTGTATTAACTCACCATTTAGTGTCTGGTTCAATTGGTCTATTGTAGTCGGGACTAACTAACAGGTTTGTACCCATTATATTCATTTATTCATATTATTCAGAATTACCTCCAAGCCCAATTAAGAGCACTGGTGGGGTTTTTTTTTGTTGTTGAGGAGAAGCACCAAAGAGCCCATGTGTTGTGGACTGCTCTTCTGATTCTGAGGGAGAAGGAGGACAGGTGGTGGATGAAACAGCACTTAGGGATTTGGGGTTCAGTGTTGGGGAGGAAGAAGGAGGAGGAGAGGCAGCAGATATATCAGAAATCCCCATGTTTCTGGAATGTTGAAGGGAGAAACAGGGCAGAAGAAGATCAGTTAGGCTAGCAGGGAAAACTTTGAGCAATCAGACCGTGCCCTAGGGATTGCGGTGCTGGAAAGTTCAGGGCTATAAATTAGCAGCAAGGTCAGGGGCTTAGTGACAGATTAAACTCCTATTGCAGACTAAACTCTCTCTTTTCTATTCAGAAAAAAGGATGGTTCCTTTTTATCAGAGTTAATAATGCACTTTACTTTTTATCAGAAAAAGAACCATCCTCTTCTCTGATTAGAGCGGCAAAAGGCCATTTTGAATGCCTTGTTGGGAAAATGGCAGTCCATGGGGCAACTGGCACATTGAGGTTGCACTGGCACTTTCACCTATCTGCACAATGATCCCTACAGAATTATCCATGGGTCATTTCAGAATTAATAATTTTGGTATCAAAGCCAATCCCCAGCTTATACATGAGCTTAATTTATATATGAGTATAGGCAGTTCTTGTTAAAATTTTCTATCTCATCTTTCTAATGTTTGCTCACATCACTGGAGAAAAACATGAATGTGTGCCTACAGATCAACATTTTTGTCATAAGACAAAACACTATATGAAAAGGGGTCTACTGAACCTCCAAAGGGTTCAGTTAAAGGAGTTCCAAGGACTAGAGGCAACTTCAAAGACTCTTTCTCTTATACTCAGCAGCCTCAACCTCCACCATAAACATGGATAGGTATAAATACTTGATAAATAAATAAAAATAAGAGTGTTGATACTGGCATGGGAGAACGTGGTTCCTTAGATATCTCAGAACTAGTGATTTCAGGATAATCGCTAGTATTTTGAATTGTTCCTAGAAACTTACTGACAGTTTTGCAACATTAATGTAATATATTCCAATAAGCAATAATATGTATAACACATATACACAGAGAGAGATAAGGTTTGTACTAGTGCAGTAGGGTAGAAACTGAGTTACAGTAGTATCTGTTGTTGACAGGAATGGGCAGAACTGACAATCAGTTTAAACTACGTATAATAATTTGATACTTAGAAACTGTTGTCCAAGTTCAGTACTCTACCACTTTACGATTCCATTTCTGTCTTCATATATCTATCTAAAAGATAGTTTTAAACTATGGGTAAAATATGTAAAACTGTTTTTGAAGTAAACAGTTTTTGTATAAATATGTGAGAGGAAGCCACAGGGAGGAGGGAGCAAGCTTGTTTTCTGCTTCCTTGGAGACTAGGACGCGGAACAATGGCTTCAAACTACAAGAGAGGAGATTCCATCTGAACATTAGGAAGAACTTCCTGACTGTGAGAGCCATTCAGCAATGGAACTCTCTGCCCCGGAGTGTGGTGGAGGCTCCTTCTTTGGAAGCTTTTAAGCAGAGGCTGGATGGCCATTTGTCAGGGGTGATTTGAATGCAATATTCCTGCTTCTTGGCAGGGGGTTGGACTGGATGGCCCATGAGGTCTCTTCCAACTCTTTGATTCTATGATTCTATGATTCTAAAGTATAATTCCACTGATTTAAGGACAGCATGTTAATGTGCAGCTCTAATGAAACAACAGAAATTCACCTCACTTTACATGTATCTTTGTGTATTTTGTTTCTAAATTAGAATTTGCTTAAAATTGAGAAGATCTCTGTGATTGTAAATTTCCTTCCTGTGATTCTGAACCAGCTATTCTGGGTTCTTGTGCAAAATAAAGAAGATGAAGTTACAACTGCTGTGACCAGGTATCCCTTGTTTGTTATTGTTATTATAGTGCAGTGGTTCTCAACCTGTGGGTCCCCAGATGTTTTGGCCTCCAACTCCCAGAAATCCTAATAGCTGGTAAACTGGCTGGGATTTCTGGGAGTTGTAGGCCCAAACACCTGGGGACCCACAGTTTGAGAGCCACTGTTATAGTGGATCCATGCCTAGTGGATTCATATAGTTCAATTCCCTTACTCTAATAGCTAAGGAATGAGTCAGAATTACTATTTTTGAAATGTTCTTCCACATAAGACATCTCGTGATTATTTAGTTATTTATTTTGAATTGAAAATGTAGTTTTCCATCCACATGGTTTGCTGAAGAAGCCCCAAAGTTTTGATATGGACATCATCATAATCTGTATTTATATCCCACCATTAAGAAAAGGCTGGGCTTCAAGATGGCATACAAATTAAAGATTTGCATGATACCCACTTCTGGTCCTAGGAATCCAGATAGAAAACATATTTTACATCATTGCATTACATCATATTCAATACTTTTACTTTTACAGGGTACTCACTGATATTGTTGCCAAGTTCCATGAAGAACAATTAGACCAATATATCCAGTCATATGTAAAGGTAAAAATATTTAACTTGCATTTTAATTGTTCTCATTCATTTTAACAGTTTTCCTGAGGTCATTCTCTCTTATGTCATCTTGCATTTATATTGTGTAAAGGATATGTTAACTGTTGATTTATTAGGTGAGTCTCCTGTAAGGATTTGTGTAAGAGTTAATGTGTTGCAAGTAATCCAGTGAATTTCAGTTGTAAATTTTATTAAGGAGTGCTCCCTTGGAAGCTTTTCTGTGTGCTTTGAAGTAGCTTGTGCTGAACTATTTTCCTAGCTTCCTTGTTATTTTCTCAAGAACCCTTTTTATTATCTAAATTACAGTGCTTTTGTACCTGCTTATGGTATGTGAATTTTTTTAAAAATCTTCCAGCATGATTTCTTGCACTTTTTAATTTCATTTTTGTTATTTGGCACTGCTTGTTATGTGTCCTCCATTTAGTTTTCACTGGAATATGTCACTGAATTTGTGGGGGGTGTTTATGAAATCATTATCAAGGACCTTAAAAACAATAATTATATATAGTACTACAGTTTGAGTATCCCTTACCCAAAACGCTTGTAACCAGAAGTATTTTGGATCTTTATAGTATTTCAAAATACCAAATACATAATGAGTATCCTAGAGATGGGACCCAAGTATAAACACAAAATTGATTTATTCTTCACATACACCTTATATGCCTGAAAGTAATCTTATATACTGTTTTAATACTTTTTACATGAACAATGTTTGTATACGTTGGACCACCAGAAATCAAAGACATCACTATCCCAGCCACCGGTGTAGAAAATTTTGTCATATTTTGGATTTTAGAATTCTGGATAAGGGATGCTCAATGCCTCTTGTTCTAATAAGACAGAAGCTTTACTCACATATTTAGACCAATTATTTTTCTTTTGATGCATTCTCGATACAGGCCATTGTTTTCCACATCTAAAGTACATACCTTTTTGTTCCTGCCTAAAGTAAGAATTCTAGTATGAGGCAGAGAGCACAGAAACTTCCAAAGGTGCTGTGAAAAGACATAAAGGGTATCTGACCACAAATGTCCTCCTTCTGAGGTCGCTGACTGTTTTAATGAGACCTTCAGAGAGGGAGGTCCATTCTTGGACATCCAATTCTAAGAACATAGGCTCAATTAGCATGTTTTCCAGAAATCACTGAGAGGGAAATTTCTAAAGCCCCTTCAACACGAATCCTGAAAGTAGGTTTATTGTTGCCAGAGTCTGCTCGCTTGGTGGCCCGAGGCAGCAGATAGTCCCCATTGTCCAGCTACACCGAAAATGGTTCATTGCCTCAATATCTCCTCCTCCCCACATGCCATGACTGTCTCCAGCCATGACACCCCCCTTTTAACTAACCATTGCAGCATACTGACTGAAATCAACCACTGCATAGTTGGCTGGTAGGGAGAGAGGGGAAAGCCCCCTTAGCCATCTTCCTTAGCAACTCCATGGTCTGGCAGAGAGTTGCCAGACCACTCAGGAGCATGTAGGTGGTTTTTGTCACAGCTGGGGGCACTCACAACACTGGGAGAGGGGATAGCAAGGGATTGACATGCCACATCTCTGGGCCACCCTAGGCTTGGGATAGCTTGCAATACAAGCTGTGGCCAGTTCCTGTTAGGACAATACAAGGCCCAGCTGTCTTTTGACATCCCTAACTTGGGGGACAACGTGAATTATGGGTCAGGTTTCAGGGTTTTGCCCAATTTATCTTGGCCCAGGGGAAAGCAGCATTAGGATAGCCAAATCGGCCCAGTGCCATCCTTAGCCACCACAATTCTAGCCCTATGTAACACCAACCTAATTGGTCATAAAATGAAACCCCTAGGTCAAGAGTAGTGAGAGTATGGTGTTCCTCTGTTGCTAGACTGTATCTCCTAACCATGTTAATTCAGTATATCCAGCGACTGATGAGTATGGGAACTGAGGTTCAATAACATTGAGGCAGGCACTCATTCTCCAAACTGCCCTAGACAGACAAGACACCTTCTCCATCTTCACACTCGACTCAACAATATTGGAATAATAAAAATATATAGTGTCATTTGTAAAGATTAAAATAATATAATGTACATGAAATTCTTTGAATCTCCAGAAATACTCTACGGAGACATTCAATACCAGCAGCATCACTGTCATTACTGCCATGAGGCTTAAACATGATATTACACCCAAAATGTACCTCCTATCAAAGTGTCAACCTTTGTTGTTTCACCTTTTAGGATACTTGGTTCAAAGCATGATGTCATCATTCTGCATGATATCAGGCTAATCATTGAGTGTCCGAGGCCGATACAAGATGATAAAGAGAGATGAGACTACTGTAATAGCCTTGTGTCTGCTGTACCATCAAATTCCAACTAAAATGTGAATTATAAAATATTTGTTAATGTTTATTAATTAACAAACATTTTTGTTAATTAATGTTTAACTTGGCACTCCTGGAGGTGCAGTGGGCTAACTCGCTGAGTTGCTGAACTTGCTGTCCAAAAGGTTAGCGGTTTGAATCCAGGGAGGAGGGTGAGCTCCCGCTGTTAGCTCTAGCTTCTGCCAACCTAGCAGTTCGAAACATGCACATGTGAGTAGATCAATAGGTACCGCCTTGGTGGGAAGTTAACAGTGTCATTTCAGTCATGCTGGCCACATGACCTTGGAGGCGTCTACGGACAATGCCGGCTCTTCAGCTTAGAAATGAAGATGAACACCATCCCCCAGAGTTGGGCACGGCTAGACTTAATGTCAGGGGAAACCCTTACTTTTACTCTTATTTAGCACTTTAAGTGTTGAGTTTAATGCTGTTCATAATGTACACAGTAGATAGTGTTTTTTTGTTTTTTGAGAAGTCATATCCCATTAGACAAATTGCTTTTGGACTGGTATTGATATAGGTTTGGTGGAGTATTTATTCGGGTATATGTGCAAAGCAATGTGTAATTGTTTAATTAGTTGATTGTTATAGCATTCAGTGATTCCTGTGGACAGAACGGCATGGGCAGAATGGTTGGTTTGCCTACTCTTTCCATATTATATGGAGAAAGACACTAAGTACTATGACCATTTCATAAATTTCTGGATGGGCTAATAGCTACATTTTTAAGAGCAAAAGAATGGTGCATGTGCAAGATAAATTCAGCTGTTGATACTTCCATGCTCGCAGGAGTGATGCTTCAGTATTTAAATGCATATGTCCCATACATCAATGTTTATTTGATCTCACTGGGAATGCTTTGGATGTCTTTGCCATTCCATTGTATTAAACAGAAAACAAGTTTTTTTCCAAAATGTGTTGATTCAAATGGGTCACTTTACAGATTTATAAGTAAGTAGTTATCAACTTGTTGTTTTAAAGAACTGTTTTTCAAAAAAGAAATCTTGTATTCTTTTTACTTCAAGGGTTGGGTTCTTTTCTCAGTGTTTGTAATAAATAAATAAATCCAGTATCTTATTGATTTTTAAAACAAAATGGAGAAAAAACCTAACGTATCCACAAAATTCTTACATTATCTGAATTATTCAGCTTTGCCTTCCTTTGAATTCAAAATACAACATGGTTTCATATATATCTATTTGGACATCAGTCAATATATAACTGCAGATTGGGATAGTGTTGTACTTTGAATACAAAGAAAATAGGATCCATTGAATGCAGTGTAATTTACTTCTGAATAGACATGTATAGAAGTACAGTAGAGAGAAAATTCCAGCAGCTGCCATTGTCAAGAAAACCATCTAGGTAATTTTCCTCTTCTTCACAAATGCTGAAGCTTTCTGAGACTTATCCTTTTCTGCAACTCGCCAGCATATTGCCCATTTCAGTGGCCTTTATTAAAAGCATTCACATGTAGAATTCCCAAGTAATTGAACAATGTTTGATCATTCACAAATTTCACAATGACAGGCAAAAGATGATCAGGTGCATTTAAATGAATGTGCATGGTACCAAATCATACATTTTGATGCTTCATGGAATGAATTGTGCCAATTCACAATTTAACAGCAAATACTTGCATTTAGTTCTCAAGAAAGACCACCATTAATAATTTCTTTTTCATTTCATATTATGTATTCATTTGCATGTCTACTTAGAAGTCCCTCTGAGGTCATTGGAGATGTTTTTGAATTAAGTGTATTTCTTAAATATCTGTTTTTTAAAATGCTTTTGCAGTTTACTATTGGTTTTACAAAATTTGAAATTTGTTTTCATGGATTCATTTTAATCAATCAATTATGAAGGATTATTCATAAATGGATGGGACTAAATTAAATCATATAATGAAGGAGTGGGCTTTGGCTTTTATTTACCATTTTTCTCCAAATGTTTTGGGGTGCTATGTCTTTGGTTTCTCCAGAGAAAAGAAAGAACATGTCTCCATGTGCTTATTGATGGATGTATTTTATTTTTTAAATAGGTTTTTGTGTTATTCTGTTTTATAAAATGCTCAACATATTCTAGCCCTTATATTATTGACTGGCCTATTTCAGAGGCCAAGGGGAAAGATTTTCAGCAACTGTGCAATTCCTCCTGTTGCTAGATTAAAGGCCAATTGATAATAAAGTGGTTAAAACTCTCTGGACTTTTTATAAAACAGCATAGCAAAAAACCCACCACTTGTTTAAAGAATAAACTAAAACCTGGAGGCCTTTTTCATTTTACTTGCTTGTTTAGGGCCTTCTGATGGCACAGCGGGTTAACCTGCTTAGCTTATGAACTTGCTGACCAAAAGATTAGTGGTTCAAATCTGGGGAGTGGGGTGAGCTCCTACTGCTAGGTCCAGCTTCTGCCAACCTAGCTGTGCAAAAACATGCAAATGTGAGTAGATCAATAGGTACCTCTTCTGTGGGAAGGTAACGTGCTCTATGCAGTCATGCTGGCCACATGATCTTGGAAGTGTCTACAGACACTTTGGTTTAGAAATGGAGATGAGTACCGCTCCCCAAAGTCAGACACGACTAGACTTAATGTCAGGGGAAACCTTTACCTTTACCCATTTTGCTTATTTTGATTGGAATTGAAGTTAAATGAAATCAACGTGCAAAATTCTAATTAAAGTCTGCATTGAATAGAAAAGCCATCACATTATGGTTGTTGTTTACATCAGGAATAATGCTCAGACTATGTTTTATGGCCTAATCTTCTCACTACAATTTGTTCTCTATGTTTTTACGCTATGAAATCATGCTTTCCTCCACTATTGTAGTATGTGTTCAAGACCAAATCATTTGAAGAAAGGACAATCCATGAAGAGCTGGCCAAGAACATGACTGGCCTTTTGAAATCAAATGATCAAAGGACAGTGAAACATGTTTTAAAGGTGAATCCTTCTCTTTTTCTTGCCCACATTCTTGCTAAAAGTGTTGGAAAAGTTTGTATATGTTTGATTTTCTGCATCAGGATTGAGTTCTTGAGCTCTGGATTGTGTCCCCAATATTTAAGAACAAAGAAACATAATAGATTTAGCAAAGATGGTTGTCTGGAAGCACCTTAAGGGAAAAATGAGTGTAATCTGAAAACTACCCTCATCTTGAGAAGGCACTTGGGTCTTAAAACTAAAAAATACAACTTGAGATTTAAATCATTCAGAGTTTAGTATTTGGATTAGGGATGTTAATTTTCCTCTCCTGATGGGTGTCAGAAAAATTGCATTTATTCTTCCCATGTTGTTGGAAAGTGTGGGTTTTTTTTTTCCTCTGGAAAACTGTGCAACTTTTCCAGCTGGCATGTATTGGGTACTATTTTTTTCTGCAAATTGGGGGAGGAAACCCAAATGTCTTTTCACAGCTTCTTGTCAAGATTTCTATGAAACATGGGCAGGGGTTGAAGATACATATATATGTGTCAGGTGACAGTCGAGCATTTTTTGGAAAGCTGAGCATTTTTCAATAAAAATGTTGTACATCACTGGACCAGCAAGAAGTCAAAAAGCCCCTACAAAGCTTCAGATACTTGGATTTTTTTCCTTCCAACACTAGTTCCAGAAAGTGTTAAAAACACCCATTTCAACTCCATTATAGAAACTCCCATCTCACCTATTTGGATTTTCACACGCAGAGTTCAGTGCGACCCTACTACAAGTATGCAATTTCTACAGTTCTGGACAAGAAAAATGACTAAACTCTTTCTTGATTTTTGATATATTTGTCCTAGATGAGATCCAATAAGAGTGAAGATGAGAGAGAGAGAAATGTGAAAATAAAGGCAGAAAAAGACTAACTGTGAATATGACAGGAGATAATTAATATATTCTGAGAAATGTTTGAACTATTTCTTCTTAAGGTGGAAGGGGCAGACACAAAAAGGACCCAATGGTTCATTTGTTGAGCTGGCATGCTTGTCAAAAACTTAAACAAAGCTGCAATTACTTGCCCAAACTCACCGTATTTCAAAAACGTTTGACATTCTCTATAATCGACTGTTTAACAATTCAGCAGCAAAGTTTTGTAAAAAATTAAATGGTTGGGCTGGATCCAGACTTGAACTTCTCTAAAGAGGAAAAAAATCTTCATTTTATAAAGGAAACTGGAATTTAGCAGAGGCCTCTCTTGCTAGCAGAATTGGCCAGATTTGGGCATTTTCCCCCTGCAGAATCCAGGGCACTGTTCTTGGTGGTTGGCATAGGAAGGACTGACAGCTTTTCAGGTGAGCTGAAGAGGAAGAAGAAAAGGATAAATCAAGGAAAATTGCTGCACAATGCTCTTTTTCAGTACAAATGGAATCCTGCTTGGCTCAAGTCTGGATCCACTCATAGGGGCTCAGTTTTCTCATAGCGTGCAATCATACCAGGAGTTAAGCTGTTTCATTTCTGAGGTCCTGGCTCATCAAAGCAAATGTTCCAAATTCATTTTGCAAAATTGCTTGAAACTTATTCCTATGCAGGTCTTTCCACAAACTAGATTGTGGAAAAGATGTTTCCAACTAAAAAAAAAAATAACCCCCATAAAGTCAAAGACAACTAATTTTGTAAGAAAAATAGATACTGCTGCCATTATAACCTCTTTCTTTCTTTCCTTTGTTTAATTTTAATAGCACTCCTGGTTCTTTTTTGCCATTATATTAAAGTCCATGGCACAGCATTTGGTTGACACAAATAGAATACAGGTAAGATTGTATGGTCATCTGCATTACAATTTAGTAAATTATTATTATTATTATTATTATTATTATTATTATTATTATTATTGAATATTAGAACTGCTCAGACAATGATTTTGGACAAAGAGGCTGACAGTAAAGGTATTGGTTTTAAAGTATATGGGTTTTTTTAAGGTTTTATTGTATGTAGTTTTTAATTCTGTTTTAAATGTGGTTTTAAGTATATATTGTTAAGGCATCAAATGGCTGCCTGGTTGTAAGCCGCCTTGAGTTGCCTTCGGGTTAAACAAAGGCATGATAGAAATATTGTAAATAAATAAATGATCATCCCCAAGACAACACTGTTTATTTATAATGCCCCTTTCAGAACATTAACATACAAACATTAAAAATAAGGATAATAAAACATAACAGTATCTCTGACACCTAACCTGTCACTACCATCTCAGCAACAGCAAACTTAGCAGCTTAATGTGGTGAATCAAAAAAGGTTTTCAAAAAATGAAAAATGCATGCCTTTGCTGTTGTCCTGATAAAGAGTTGTGGGGATATCCAGACTCCAAGGTTTCTGCAACACTTTATACACAATGGAGAGCATGAAAGAGGAACTACTACTAGGCAGTCACCAAGAAACACCGAGATCTCCATTTTATCATTATTCAGCTGAAGACAATGTGTTGTCATCCACAAAAATACACTCAACAGGCAGTTCATCATGGACTTCCATACTGAAGCATCAATTGATTTAAACACTGTAAAATCTGGATGCTAGCAGCATGTTATAACGTGTTATCTAAATGTATGTACAGACATTTTATATATTTTAATTGACCAGGCAACATTAATGAATATTTTATTATTTATTCGCTTTCTTAATTTGAGATTGTTAAAAATGCAAAAGAAAAAAAGCAACCCTCAGATATATCTATCAAATCACACATCTGTCAGAAATATCCCCAGCCCGCATAGCCAGTTCCAGAAACTAGCATGCTGTTAATGAGTACAGCATCGCGGCCTTTCCCAGCTTGATGCCATCCAGATGTGTTGGACTGAAAACTGCAAGTTTGTGGCTTCCTGGGGACTTTTCAACATTTGCAGCCCAGCTCATCTGGAGAGCATCAGGCTAAAGAAGTCTGCTGTGTAGTAAAACTGTGAAAGAAAAGTTTCAGAGGACAGTACTGACAAACAGCCAGCATCATGTTATTTTTCTAAAGAATGAAACAAGAGGGCCCCATGTGATATATCCTACATTCAGCAGACAACTGCACATATCAAGAACATTCATGGATTACTTCTGTGTTCTGTCTCTTAGAACTAATCTCATGATTATTCTAGCTCCATTTATTTCATGAGACTATCTAATCTCCCATAAGCTTAGCCACATTTTCAGAAAGGTTTTCATGAATTTCTTCATTCTTACATTTTTAAAAATGGAATTGGCCACAATTCAAAAATGCTTGAACTAATGACTGAATTACAACTTCTCACAAGCTGCCAGGGTGGCTTATGAAGTAAGAATTCTCAGTTCCAGCACATCCACATTACTCAGAGGTGGTGCAGCGAACGTGCCAAAACTAAACAGCTCTGTGCCAACCTAGTATGAGCAGTTTTCTAAAAGGAGTTGATATAATGGCATTTTGATTCCTCCGGATTTGTAATTCATTACTTATGTGAGGAAGGACACACTTTTCAGCTGGACTGAAAGCCTGTCCTGGATATTCTATTATTTAATAAGTTTACCCCTCATTTTCCTCTAGTGAGATCAAGGAAACATGCAGGATTCTCATTTGCTCCACTTTCCTCACAACAACCATGTGAGCTAGAGCAGGCTAAGAAAAAACAATTGGTCTCAAGTCATGCAATAAACTGTGTAGCTTAGTAAGAACCAGAACCTGGATTCCCTAAGTATTTATTGCTCCAAATGTAACACTCCATCAGGTCTGCACACTACATTAGTGTTCAAATGTTGAAGGTTTTATCTGCTTTAGAAATCTTAATAGGAATAGACACCTGTTGTTAATTAGGAAGAATACACTCCATTTCACATGTGCATTAGTAATCCTGCCAACTTCATTTGTGCAGCTCTTATAGTGAAAGTTTTGTAGGCTATGGCTTTAGTTTGCTCACCATGTTGACATATAATCTGTTTTCTGTTCAGATTCCTCGTGCTCAGAGGTTTCCAGAATCATTCCTAAATGAACTGGATACCCTCATAATGATCTTATCAGATCACGTTGTTTGGAAACATAGAGATGCTCTTGAAGAAACCAAGAATGCAAACCAAAGTGTTGGTGGATTTCTCAAGGTATGTTTCCTTTGCTCCATTTGTGTACTGCTCTCCTCTAGGGGACATAGTTGGTATAGATATTTGTCTCTTTAGAATGCCAACTTAAATTTGGGCCGACTGCCCAAACATTTCGGGTCCAGCTTTCATGGCCAATTTTAGTTTATTCGATTTTGTTGGCTGGTTTTATATCACTTTAATTTGTTTTCGGTCAATCATTAGCAATTATTAAAGTTATGATTTTAGCTGTAACCTACCTTGATAGCTTCAGATAGAGAATGACAAACAGTAAATATTTAGGTTGTTGTAGGTTTTTTGGGCTGTATGGCCATATTCAAGAAGCATTCTCTCCTGACATTTCACCTGCATCTGTGGAGGGCATCCTCAGAGGTTGCCTGCCAAAAACCTACAATAATCCAGTGATTCTGGCCATGAAAGCCTTCAACAATACAATAAATATTTAGCATAGAGACTGTGGAAATGAACTTCCCTTACCTCTATTTCTTATGGTAGAACGCTATACTGGAGTAGACTCAATGGAGGCCGTTGTAGTCTGGATTGGTGATCGGACATTCCAGAATGAATAGAATCATTTTCTATAAGCACAGGCCTTCTGTCTGTGGAAGGCATTCAACCCTCAGTCAACAGTTTGAAAATGAAAGGACAATCCTAAACAAACAATTCTAAGAATCCCACAATCAAAAGTGATTTGCAAAGCAATAGGTATCAAGATAGGTGTTTGTGCCAGTGAGAAACTAATTGCTTTGTATTAAGTTTGGGTCTGTTTATGCCTACGTGTCTGGCCAAAGTATCCTAACCAAGAAACTTTAGAATGTTTGGATCCGACACCCAAGAAATAACAATCTCATTTATTAACATATCTGAAATGGCTAGGTGAATAAAGTATTCTTACTTTTAATTCTGTTAGAAGTACTGAACTGTAAGATGTATATTATGTGTTTCCTCTAGAATATATATGTATGTAGTTCTCCTCCCCACTCACAATTTTGGGAAATAGGTCTAGTTGTAAAAGCGATTGACTGGCCGTCCAGTGAGTTTCCCTGCTTAGCAGGAAGTTGAGCTCAGCTATCCTGAGTACCTCTGCAGCCATTTCACCACACAGATAAATGTAAGGATTCCTCTCATCTAGGAAAAAAAAACCTACCTTTAGTGCTGGGAAGCCTGTGTGCCATTCTAAGAGTGATAAGGATTTGTAGCTGTAGAGGAAGCAGAATTTATTTATCTAAAATATTTTAGATTCTCTTTAAGGACAGCCTAAGAGTAAACCTCTCAAGATAGAAAGTTTTCTTTAGGCTCTACACAACAAGTTATGTTTTATGACGTTTTAAAGCCACACAATTCTTTTGTTTAATATTTGACATGGGAGGGGCAAAGAATGATGGTCCACGGTTGCCATGACCCCGCCACAGCTGTAATTCCTAAAGCCACAGAATGTCTACATATAAGCTAGTGGTAACACTTGAATACACATTTTATTAAACAAAGCTTAGGAAGACATTTTGATTTATCTGGTTTCATGTTCAAAACATTGTATCATGCCATAATTAATTTTCCCAAGTTAAATATTATTATTTTCAACACTTTTTTCTTAAACATGTGCCATTTTGAATCCTGTGTTGGAAGAAATGTGGGATGTAAATTGAATGGAAGAATCCATAAACTTCTGATTTGAATATTTTATCCCAGAGCTAGATATGATCTCTTATTTTTCAGCAGGACTGTAATAACTACTAGCTCTTCTCTGATGATTTTCTGTTGTTGAAAGCTATTTCCCAAACTATTGACATATTGATTTCTGTTTTAGCGCTGTTTCACTTTCATGGATCGTGGATTTATATTTAAGCTGGTTAACAGCTATATAAGTATGTTTGGACCAGGTGACCACAAGGTAAGGAAGCTCTTGATTTTTGAAGTTTCTGATATTTGAAAATTTTCAGTGGCAGAGAAAAATCCAGAACAATGTGAAAAAAGAGTTGATCTCCCATTAATATAAATTTTATTTTAGTTTCAAGTGGCACTTCTATTTTTCAAGTCCATTTCTGACTTATGGTGACCCCCCAAGGGTTCACCTATCACAATATATATACACATACATACACACACACACACACACATGATTTGTTCAGAAGTAGGTTTTCCATTTTCTTGTTTGAAGCTGAGAGATTGTGAGCCCAGTGGATTCAAACCCTGGTTTCCAGAGTTGTAGTCCAACAGCCAAACCACTATACCAACCACTCTAATTCTCCAAAGCAGCATTTACCTGTATATAAATAGCACTACCTCCGTTAGTGCATCATATTAAGATGTCCCTCGATATTATGTCGGTTCTCGTTCCAAGATGAAAAAAGGAGTACTAGTATTGTCATTTTTACATAAGGCTAAAAAAAAACTTGAGGCAGTTGTTCATTGGAGAATTGCCTTGTTCAGTTAGTATTTATGAGAAAATGATAGCTAATTATCCAATCTGGGGTAAATTTAGAATACAAATGATTAATGTGTATTCATTGTCAATGTGCATTAATCAAGAGGCAATCTTGTCCCATTTGGTACACTTCCCTATGCCTTTTGTAAAGGTCCCTTACCTTCTGCAGCCAGGATTGCAGGGCCTAGAGTAAGTCTGGCAGCTAGTTTGCAGCTTAGGTGGGCCTGGCGAAGCAGCAGTAGCCATTTTAGATCAGGGAAGGCACCATCTTAGAGAGAGTTTAGAGAGGGGGCGTGTCTTAGGCCTGAGTCAGCAGAGATCGACCAGGATTGGTTTAGAAAAGGGGGCGGAGTTTAGAGAGGCTTGGAGGGAAAAAGAGCCTTTTAAGTGACAGAAAGAGGGAGTTGAAGATTAGAGTTCAAAGAGAAAGGACGTTTTAGAAGTTAGTGGTTTAAGAGATAGGAGAGGGCAAAGTTTGCCAGTGGTTTGCCAGCAAAGTTAGCTGAAGCAAACTGGACAGCTATTAGGGATATAGCTGGGTTGTAGCTAGATTGGACTAGGTTAGTGTATCGGAGCTACAGAAGAAATACTGACAGAGATTTAGTTCCTGTTAAGTTTTCTTGTTGGTGAAGAGAAGAAACTCTTTTTATTGTAACAAAGATAGAACTATTATTGTAACCATCACGCATTCAAGACAAAAGCAAATACTTTCTGTAACAGCCAAGATATTGAACTGACATACTTTCCTGTTTTTCAATCAATAAACTTTCATTGATTATTTAAAGTTTAAAGCTTGACTCAAGTGTGCCTTTGTGGCTGAAGTTTCCTAATCTATTTTATACTGTTTTTAAAAGAAGAAATAAAAGAGCACAGTGCCTGGTGGTCCCAAAATAGATCTTAATATTTGGCAGCTAGAGAGTTCCTTTACATTTTGGTGGCAGCGGAAGAAACTTAAAAGATACCCCTCAAACATCATATTTGGTTTCACAACAAAGTAGGGATTGATTACATCCTTAGTACCCATCGAGGTAACCTTTATAATTGGTGTGACAGTGGTGAGATAGTTTGACCACCCTGTACAAGTTGTGTGGATGCTCGATACGCTAATACCCGGTTCTTTATAATTGGTGTATAGTTAGATGGGATCTGATATTGATTGATCCCGAAGGCATATCCTTTGTATTGGTGTACAGCGGAGTGGGATCTGATATTGTTTGATCCCCAAACCAATTCCTTTATACCTTTCTTCTCAAAATGTCCCTAAGATGTCCCTAAGATGCTACATACCTCATAAGATTTCAAATGATAGTATAGCTGAGTTTAGATAGCATGTGAAACCATATTAACCAACCCCAATTTGCAGACGGGACTTTTAGGGCAGACATAAACTAGAGTTACTACTTCAAATGTAATGCTGGGCTCTGTTTTGCTGTTAATCAGGAAGGGAGGGATGGAATCCCATTATGTAAGAAGAGACAAGTGAGGAAAAATTGAAGCCATCTTTGATAGCCATACATTTCCAGAACTTTAAAAATATTAGTTTTAGATGTTGATTTCCAGAATTCTCTGTGTTAGTTGGAAGATTTGGGGAACTGTAGTCCAATATGTAACTTTGCCAATATCTGTTCATATGGTGTCAAATTATAGTTTGCATTACATATAAACTAAACATGTGTATGGCTGTAATGCATGCGAAATACAAAGACATACAATTTGATATAATCTGAGAAACTGCAATAAAGTCAGGGGAAAACAATGACTGTAGTTTTTTTCAGAGTGTTGATTTACACAACAGACCACAATTCTGTAATGTGGACTAATGAAAGAAAACATTGCAAGTGTAAACAATGAATACAAATATTTTCTCCTTCCAGATTTTGTTTCAATATAAATTTGATTTTCTTGAAGAAGTATGTAACCATGAACACTTCATCCCACTGTGCCTTCCTATCAAATCTTCAAATATTCCAGGTAAGGCTTGCATGTTTTTTTTTAAAAAAAATAATTCTATCAAGCACACTCAGAGATAAAAATATTGCAATATTGCTCATAAGTGCAATTTCCGTATGTGAAATAATTTTCTGTTTTGAAAAATGAACATAAACAATTATGAATTTAAAATCATAAAAAGTATATTGCTATGTTTTAATTGGGAGCTGTCCAAAATATTAGAAAGGAAGGAATATAAGCATAAGATGTATAAAGGCTTGTTAAAACCCTCCACTCAGGACGGGAGGCTTGTTAAAACCCTCCACTCAGGACGGGTGCCCTGAGGACTCGGCAGCTCGCTGTGAAGCTTTTGCTCGGTTCTTCGCAGACAAAGTCGCTTTGATCCGCTCTGGACTGGACACCATATTAACGGCAGTATCTGAGGATGTAACACGAGCATCTGCTTGTCTGGTTTTGATGGATTCATTTCAATTGGTTCAATCCGAGGATGTGGACAAGGTGCTTGGAGGAATGAGAGCTACCACATGCATCCTAGACCCCTGCCCATCCTGGCTTCTAAAGGAGGCCAGAGGGGGATTGGCCGAGTGGGTGAAGGTGGTGGTTAATGCCTCCCTTCGGGAAGGCAAAATTCCAGCCAGCTTAAAGCAAGCTGTGATAAAACCGCTGTTGAAAAAACCATCACTGGACCCCACTCAATTCGTCAACTATCGGCCTGTTTCCAATCTCCCCTTTTTGGGCAAAGTCATGGAACGTGTGGTGGCCTCACAACTCCCGGCATTCTTGGTAGACACGGATTATCTGGATCCGGCACAGTCTGGCTTTAGGCCGGGGCATGGTACCGAGACAGCCTTGGTCGCCTTAGTGGATGATCTGCGTCGGGAGCTCGACAGGGGGAGTGTGTCCCTGTTGGTGCTGCTCGACCTCTCAGCGGCCTTCGATACCGTCGACCACGGTATCCTTCTGGGACGCCTCGCGGGGATGGGTGTTGGAGGTACTGTTCTGCAGTGGCTCCGCTCATTCCTCAAGGGTTGGTCAGAAGGTGTTATGGGGAGACTCCTGTTCAACCCCACAACCTTTGTCTTGTGGGGTTCCTAGGGTTCAATACTGTCTCCCATGTTGTTTAACATCTACATGAAGCCGCTGGGCGAGATCATCCGGAGTTTCGGAGTGCGATGTCATCTGTACGCAGATGATGTCCAACTCTGTCACTCCTTTCCACCTGCTACTAAGGAGGCTGTCGAGGTCCTGAACCGGTGCTTGGCCGCTGTGACGGTCTGGATGGGGGCGAACAAATTGAAATTGAATCCAGACAAGACAGAGGTACTCCTGGTTAGTCGTAAGACCGAACAGGGTATAGGATTACAGCCTGTGTTGGATGGGGTCGCACTCCCCCTGAAGACACAGGTTCGCAGTTTGGGTGTGATCCTGGACTCATCGCTGAGCCTGGAACCCCAGGTTTCGGCGGTGACCAGGGGAGCATTCGCACAATTAAAACTTGTGCGCCAACTGCGACCGTACCTTGGGAAGTCTGACTTAGCCACGGTAGTCCACGCTCTGGTTACATCCCGCCTTGATTACTGCAACGCTCTCTACGTGGGGTTGCCTTTGAAGACAGCCCGGAAGCTCCAACTAGTCCAACGGGCGGCAGCCATTGTACTAACAGGAGCGGGGCGCTGGGAGCACACAACTCCTCTGCTGCACCAGCTCCACTGGCTGCCGATATGCTACCGGGCTCAATTCAAAGTGCTGGTTTTGGCCTTTAAAGCCCTAAACGGTTCTGGCCCAACTTATCTATCCGAACGTATCTCAGCCTATCAGCCCACCAGGACCCTAAGATCTTCTGGAGAGTCCCTGCTCTCTATCCCACCGGCTTCCCAAGTGCGGCTGGTGGGAACGAGAGACAGGGCCTTTTCTGTGGTGGCCCCTCGGCTTTGGAACACCCTCCCTATAGAGATACGATCAGCCTCTTCGCTGATGGTGGTTTCGGAAGAGATTAAAAACATGGTTGTGTAAACAAGCATTCGGTTAGTTTGTTATCACCAAATTTTATGGACTAAGGACTGGTTAATTATGGATGACGAATTCTGGACTGTGATTTTAGTGACGAGATACATGGTATTATTATTGGTGGCCCAATAATTTGTATTGTCTATGTGTTGTTGTTTTAAATTGTATATTGTTTTTAATTGTTGTAAACCGCAATGAGTCGCCGACTTAGGCTGAGATATTAGTGGTATATTTTTTTTTTTTTTGGTACACTTATATACCGCTAGTATCTCAGCCTAGAACGGCGACTCACTGCGGTTAACAACATTTAAAACAACAATATTCCGATTAAAAATATAAAAACATATACATATATAATACACAGTATTGGGCCACCAATACAGACCAGTGCATCTCTTAAGTAAAAAACCACAATCCAATTCGTTGTCGGTAATTGCCAGTCCTTGGTCAAAAACAACATCGTGACAGATTAGCCGAATGCTTGCTCAAACATCCATGTTTTTAGTTTTTTCCGAAATATCATCAGTGAGGAGGCTGATCTTATCTCTGTAGGGAGGGCATTCCAAAGCCGCGGGGCCACCACAGAAAAGGCCCTGTCTCTCGTTCCCGCCAACCGCACCTGTGAAGCAGGCGGGATGGAGAGAAGGGCCTCTCCGAAGATCTTAGGGTCCTGGTGGGCTGATAGGCCGAGATACGTTCGGATAGATATGTTGGGCCAGAACCGTTTAGGGCTTTAAAGGCCAATGCCAGCACTTTGAATTGGGTCCGGTAGCTAATCGGCAGCCAGTGGAGCTGGTACAGCAAGGGAGTTGTATGCTCCCTGCGTCCTGCTCCTGTTAGTACCATGGCTGCCGCCCGTTGGACTAGTTGGAGCTTCCGAGCCGTCTTCAAAGGCAACCCCACGTAGAGAGCGTTGCAGTAATCAAGGCGGGATGTAACCAGAGCGTGGACTACCGTGGCCAAGTCAGACTTCCCAAGGTACGGTCGCAGTTGGCGCACGAGTCTTAACTGTGCGAATGCTCCCCTGGTCACCGCTGAAACCTGGGGATCCAGGCTCAGCGATGAATCCAGGATCACACCCAAACTGCAAACCTGTGTCTTCAGGGGGAGTGCGACCCCGTCTAACACAGGCTGTAACCCTATACCCTGTTCGGCCTTGCGACTGACCAGGAGGACCTCTGTCTTGTCTGGATTCAGTTTCAATTTGTTCGCCCCCATCCAGACCGTCACAGCGGCCAAGCACCGGTTCAGGACCTCGACAGCCTCCTTAGTAGCAGGTGGAAGGAGTGACAGAGTTGGACATCATCTGCGTACAGATGACACCGCACCCCGAAACTCCGGATGATCTCGCCCAGCGGCTTCATGTAGATGTTAAACAACATGGGGGACAGTATTGAACCCTGAGGAACCCCACAAAACAAAGGTTGTGGGGTAGAACAGGAGTCCCCCAGTAACACCTTCTGAGACCGACCCTCGAGGAATGACCGGAGCCACTGCAAAGCAGTACCTCCAAGGCCCATTCCCGCGAGGCGTCCCAGAAGGATACCGTGGTCGACGGTATCGAAGGCCGCTGAGAGGTCAAGTAGCACCAACAGGGACACACTCCCCCTGTCGAGCTCCCGACGGAGATCATCCACTAAGGCGACCAAGGCTGTCTCGGTACCATGCCCCGGCCTAAAGCCAGACTGTGCCGGATCCAGATAATCCGTGTCTACCAAGAATGCCTGGAGTTGTGAGGCCACCACACGTTCCATTACTTTGCCCAAAAAGGGGAGATTGGAAACAGGCCGATAGTTGACGAATTGAGTGGGGTCCAGTGATGGTTTCTTCAACAGCGGTTTTATCACAGCTTGCTTTAAGCTGGCTGGAAATATGCCTTCCCGAAGGGAGGCATTAACCACCACCTTAACCCACTCGGCCAATCCCCCTCTGGCCTCCTTTAGAAGCCAGGATGGGCAGGGGTCTAGGATGCATGTGGTAGCTCTCATTCCTCCAAGCACCTTGTCCACATCCTCGGTTTGAACCAATTGAAATGAATCCATCAAAATTGGACAAGCAGATGCTCGTGTTACATCCTCAGAGACTGCCGTTAATATGGTGTCCAGTCCAGAGCGGATCAAAGCGACTTTGTCTGCAAAGAACTGAGCAAAAGCTTCACAGCGAGCTGCCGAGTCATCAGGGCACCCATCCTGAGTGGAGGGTTTTAATAAGCCTCTGACAACTCGGAACAGTTCAGCCGGACGGTTCTTTGCAGACGCAATAGTGGCCGCAAAGAAAATTTTCTTTGCGGCTCTTATTGCCGCGGCATATGACCTTAAAAAGGCCACAAACCGTGTTCGATTTGGCTCGCTCGGATCCGAACGCCACACGCCCTCTAGTTCCCTCTTCTTTCGCTTCAACACTGCCAGCTCCTCAGTGAACCAAGGGGCTGGTTTATTTCGGCTACTTGAGAGGGGACGTTCTGGAGCGACCGTGTCTATTGCCCTAGTCATCTCCCCATTCCAGAGAGCGACCAGGGCATCGACAGGGTCACCAACCGCGGTGGCGGGAAGATCCCCAAGAGCCATCAGGAATCCCTCCGGATCCATAAGCCTCCTGGGGCGGACCAACTTAATGGGTCCTCCACCTCTGCGGAGGTTGGGGGGTGCAATAAGTCTAAAGCTGACCAGGTGGTGGTCGGTCCATGGCAACGGAGAGATGGATAACTCCTCAACACCGCCACCTTCCTCCCATCCCTGACAGAAAACCAAGTCCAATGTATGTCCAGCACTGTGGGTGGGGCCAGATACTTGTTGGAACAGCCCCATGGTCGCCATGGTAGACATGAAGTCCTGAGCCGCTCCCGTTAGGGCAGCCTCGGCGTGGACATTGAAGTCCCCCAGCACAAGCAGCCGTTGGGACTCCAATGCCAGGTCCGAGACCACCCCCGCTAGCTCAGGTAGGGAGACTGTAGTGCAGCGAGGTGGACGGTACACTAACAGAATCCCTAATCTGTCCCGGTCACCCACCCTCAGGTGGACGCATTCAAAATTTGTTGACTGCGGGATGGGGGCCCTGGTCAGAAGAATGGAATCTCTATAGACCACTGCAACTCCGCCTCCCCGCCCTCCGGATCTCGGTTGGTGCTGCACAGAGAAACCTGGTGGGCAAAGCTGGGTTAAATTTACACCTCCCGCTTCGTCCAACCAGGTCTCTGTGATGCACGCCAGATCTGCCCGTTCATCCAGGATTAAATCCTGGATGAAAGTTGTTTTGCCATTGACAGATCTGGCGTTCAACAGCACCACTTTCAATCCCGAGGGACCGCCAACCTGGTTACACCAACTTACCATATCAGGAGACCGATTTGGAGTTATTAATGTTGTTCCACGTTCCCTAGGCCGAATTAAAGGTCTCCCTTTCCCGTATCTCCCCTTCCCCACCACGACTTCTATGGGAGCTCCCCGGTTAACGGAAGCCTCTCCCTCCTCCATGACGCATTCAATATCCACAATAATAACCCAAGGATCATTATATGCTGTTTGACCTATTACAGCTTCGATCTGCCATGGCTTTGCTTTCCAATCATTTCCCGTTCCTATTATGTTAAGTTCGGGTCCCTCTGAGCTGTTCCATTCCCTCTGACCCGCATATGCAATTAGCAACCAGATTAACAAATACCGGGAAGTGGGTAGTGACATAAATAACAGCTGTTAAACACAATCAGGGTTTTGGGGGCTTGTATCAACATACACTATAGAATGACAATTAAAGTGCAGTGGCTTGGCAATTAACCCCAAAATGCTTAATAGAGTGCGTCATGGAGGCCTAATTCAACACTAGATGTATCACTCGATTAAAGTGCTAGAGATGGTTAAAAGTGACACAATAATAATTTAAGGTGCTAATAAGTAAAGTGCTAAGATCACACAGTTAAAAAAGTACTCTGCACAACTACATCGAAGTTAGTCAGCACAGTTAGAAAGATGGTCACACAGTCAGAAATAGTTAGCACCATCAAAGTGTATTAAATAAATAAATAATAAATAAAGACAAAATGAAGCAAGAATGACTCACTCTAAACATAGTCTCCGTTTATAGTATTCTTTCTGCAGCTACAATACAATAAATCAAATTATTGTTTCCAGCTAGATAAAATTCACTAAATTAAAGTGACTTACATAAATATTGACTTAACAAATTCTTGTTGATTCAGTGCATCTGTTCAAGGTGAAATTAGCAATTGAATTTAAGATGTACTTTGCAACAGAGGTTTCACTGGAAGAATGGTTCTCTTGAATTGCTCTAGCTAAATTGAAAAGAGATTGAATAACTAAATTTGAATTAATTATTTTAAATCAAAGATTGATTCCAAAACTCTATATTTCACCAACACATATCAAGTTCCTGCGCTGCTTCTGAGAATTGGTTGTAATTCTCCTAATCTGACAGACAATAATCTCACAGTAATCGAGGATAAAATATGCAATTGTAGAATTAAAATAATTACCTATTGGAAAAGGAAACTGAAATTGTTCTCCAAGCCCCTTGTCAAGTTCTACTAGTCATTTGGAATAAATGTGCAGTGCCCTTTTCCATCAGATATTTTGATAATGTAAATGAGACTAGTAAGAGCCATAAAACTACGTTGTTTACTTGTACAGAGAGTGATATTATTCCTATTCCTAATCATGGTTCTGGGACCAGGCCTTCGGACAATAGATGTATGCAGCTTTTAGTGGGACAAGGACTGGAACGGTGACTCGACTGATGAGATTGTTTTATGGTTTTAATAACTATTTTGATTTTTGATGATGTACTGTTTTTAATATGATTTATGTTTAAGGTGTGGTTTTACTGTTGTAGTTGTAAGGCATTGAATTTTTGCCATTATCTATGTATAAACCGCTTTGAGTCCCCCTAGGAGTGAGAAAAGCGTTATATAAACGCTGTAAATAAATAAATTGTACTTTCGTATTGTATATTCCTATTCTATTTTTAATGCACATGGCTTTTTATGGAGCACTTTGCTTTATTCCTCTTGGTAACAATACTGGACAGCAGGAGGTGTGAGACTTGGTTATTTGTGATGGTATGGTTTAGGTTTGCTATAAATTAATGGATCAGAATCCGATACAGATCTCTTCATTCGGAACCAAACATTATATCGACTGAAGCATCTTTCTCTCTATGTTTTTGTTGTGGTCCAGGAAAGTTAAACTTAATAACAAAACCAAGAACATGTGATCTTTAGATGCCATCTGGAAAATACAGGTTCTTCTGCCACACATTTGTAGCTGTTCTTTCCTTTGCGACATCACATTTGTACTTGTTCTCAAGCTAGAATTTGAAGCCCTCCCTTCATTCATATTACTAGCCCTGAGCCTTTACTCTGGAATAGCTTATATGTTTATGCAGCAATTCTCTGCACTGTAGTGGCTCCATATTGAAAGTTACAGAGCAATTGTTGGCAAATCTCAGCTGCACCAACAGATCTGGCAGTAAATAAGACATTTACTGACAAAACCATATATTATAGAAGCTTCTTTTCAGCCTAAAACTGTTCCAGCTACACAACACCATCCTAAAATATTCAATTTCCATTCCTGCTATACACACACAATGAGAAGTAAATTACATTGGAAGTAAGAATACTTTCTTTTAAGGAAAAATATTTTGTTGCACAATTAAGCTGTCACATAGGGGGGAAGGGAAGGGAAGGGAAGGGGCATATGCACTGATCTCAAGAAACATCCAGATGATCTGAATCTCAAAGATGTATTTATTTATTTATCTATCATTGTAAAGAGTGGCTTTATAATGATTATGTAAAACTTCTTGCTTTTCCTCTCCCCTGCCCCATAATTCTGAAAATCTTAAGATTCAACAACACCATCAGAAGCAACACAGCACTATCGTTCATCTGGTAAGAAGTAACTGTATGGCTTTCATGAGCATCAGCTAAATATAAATGCATGGAGCACAGCTAGAAACCTAGAAGGAGTTGTATTACGGTCCAGATTATCCAGCCAGAGTTGCAATGAGAGTTAAAAGTTTTAGTCCAGTACCATCTGAAAGACCACAACTTGTCTGCCCCAGCATAGCCAATAACTTTTGAAAGTCTCGTTGATTGGACTTTTAAAATTAGCTGTAATATTAGCTTGAGCCAAACATTGGATTAGTTGGAGTGTCTGTGTCAATAGACTGAAATAAAGTGAGTACAAAAAATAACCAATAAATATGTCTAATAGACTTTTTTGGTAGATATAGTTAACATTTGATTGCTTTAAGGGCTTTGAAAAAGGAAATGAGACATTTTATATAGACAGTTCAGCTGTACTGACCTGAACTTTATTACTCAGAAATAGTTTATGGTGCCTCTACACTACAGAATTAATGAAGTTTGGCACCACTTTAACTGCTGTGACCCAGTGCTATGGAATCATGGGAGTTGTAATTTCAGAAGGTTTTTAGACTTATCTGCCAGGAATACTGGTTACTTCACCAAATGACAAACCCCATGACTTCATAACATTGAGCCATGGCAGTTAAAATGCTGTCGAATTGCATTAATTCTAAGGTGCAGATGTACCCTTATTTATCATTATCATCCTTTAATGTAGCAAAGAGAAGCCCCAGTTTGTTGAGATTGGTCCATTAAAAAGCTGTATGGAACAAAAGTAGCATTTAAAAAAAACTAAATTGATTAATAGTATGAAGGAATAATAGAAATCTGTCATGCTAACCATAGTATATCTATTTCTTGAGTAAATGATAACACAGCAGGCTTCAAGCATATAATGAACCTTTCCCCACAATGTCTTCAAGATATTCCAGAATACACTCTGACAAATGAATTTTGCCGGAAGCATTTCCTAATTGGATTACTTCTTCGGGAAGTTGGGTGGGCGCTCCAGGAAGACCAGGATATCAGGCACATGGCCCTGGCAGTCCTCAAAAATCTCATGGCAAAACATTCGTTTGATGATCGCTATTCAGAGAAGGTAAGAAGTAGTAACCTTTTACTTAATTTGAATAAAATTATAATAAAATCATTGAAGTTCTGCAATTGAACCAACTCTGCTAACTGCTTTTTTTTTTTTTTTTAGGAAGATCAGGCAAAAATAGCAAACCTATATATGCCTCTATATGGCTTGCTCTTAGACAACATGCCAAGAATATATATGAAGGACATGTTTTTGTTCAACATAAATACATCCAATCAGGTATGTAGAGTGTTATTCCAGAAATATGTTGAATAACAATTTGCTTTTTGAAATAATTGCACAAAAAATTCCCTTTTTGAGCCTTTATTTTCTTGTTGGACAAGTAAGTTAATTTATCAATAGTTATGTTGACCCCAATTCAGTAGCTTTAAGTCATTTAAATGAGATGCATTTTCAGATATCAAAAATATCTGAATCAAATAACTTAATTGTGGATGATTTATCAACGAATTAAATTTTGCTTAGATGCATACTCAAAAAATGGTTTTGACAGGTTTCTTAACTATATCACAACTTGGAAACATTACTTTTTCAATGAGCTCCAGAATTTCCCATCCAGCTGATCTATACCACAATACTATCTGAGTTATCAAATCAAGGTTCCATAACTTTGACATGTCACTGTAGTGATGTAAAAGAAATGAATGTTCCGTCTCCCAGGAGCATGGGTTTTGCATTACCTTTTAGTTGCTGGAAACGGCCTCTCCCTGTGTTTCTCCCAGGCTGCTGCAGCCTCTGCAAGGCCTAAAAGGTTAGCAGCCAAAGGCAGGAAAGCCAGTTTGCAGGCTCTCTGCAATGATTGGCCAAAGAGTAGCTCTTTGGGCCCGCCCCTGCTTCCAGGGTAGAAGCATCCATTTTGGAGGTCTCCCTGCCCCTTCAGTCTTAAGGAAGAATTCATGATGTGCTGTTGGCAGACAGGTACCTCCGAAGATATCATTGTAAAAACAATTGAGTCATAGATAGAAAACAATTGAGTTTGATTGAGTTATTTAGTTAGAGATAGATAGATTAAGAGAACTATTTAGATAGTTATAGAGGATTGTCTAGATAGTTATAGAGAAGTTAATGGAATATTGACTTCATTGAGCGATAGCTAGTATTGAGCAGTTGCCTCCAAAGCTAATCCAGGCCTATAGATAGAAGAAAGGCCTGTCCTTTTCCGACCATAGGGGCTCAGGGTTTGAGAAAAGGATTCCAGAATTCGTTTTACCCTTTTTGGAGAAAGATTGCCTCAACTACTGAACCCCAATTGACTGTTTGTTTTGTAATATTGATAAGCTGAGCCAAGTCTACCAGGACTTCGTGAATAAATACCCTGTTTGATGTTTCAAACTTGAAGTGGACTCAGTTATTCAAGAAAGCTCAATCTTCTAAAGAAAGACCCCAGCAGTTCGCCCAGACATAGATAGCAGCACGTCAAAGTTTTATTTTAAAGCGTCTGGGCGTAACGGCACAATGAATTAGTGAAGGCTATACAGAAGATTGTAAGTGGACATTTTGACAGTAATTGGATGCAACTAAAGTCTGATTTAGCAATCAACACAATAAGATTCCCAAATTCACAGGGGATATGTTTCCAACCAGACAGTGGTTACATGAAGCCACAGATATGACCAAATACCATTGAATTATGATAAAGTTGTACTGGAGGATCTAGAGATGGCTAGTGCCACTAGCCAATTCTATGGTAATTTCCAGAGGAAGCAAATAATAGAATTGTGCTGGGAGGTCTAGCAGATTCCCAAAGAGTCAACTTATATGTAGTTGTAGATGTCCATGATTATTGGGGTCTTGCTGTCATTTCTTTCATGGTAGGTAGACATGCCTTAGAGCTCTCATTGATGCCAGGTTTTCCTTGTTTGAAAGAACTTCCTTATTGAAATCAAACCTACAAGAAAGATGTATTCTAGGCCTTTTATTTTGTTGTGTTGCATTTGAAGGTGCTTTAAAGGGAAAATGCCACAATAATCCTATATGAAATGTGAGATTGCTTGATTATGCAAGGAATCGGTAGTCTATCAAGAAATGAATATTTGAATTCATTCTAAATAATTTAAAGCTAAGTGTTTCCCTTAGTGTATACAGTAGCTCATTGGTCTAGCAAGGGAACCATGCTTCCTCCTTTCACCTTAGTTTAAGGTGACAATTTCCACTTCCCTAATCTCCTACGGCCAAACAAATCATGATCAAGCAACTTGCAGTTAAATGTATTCTTATTAACTAACTTGGTATAGATGGTGCACATATAAGCCGGAGGATCTAGCTTAGAAAGAAAGATGGTGGAAACCTAAAAAGGGAAATGAAAAATAATCTTGAGACACCCATAAAATAAGTTTATTTCAGCATAGACTTTCATGGACTATAGCTCTCTTCTTCAGAACAGTCATAGAATAGGTATTCTGTTACTAAGGCTGTTTGATCTGTCTTGAGTTCAGTTCAGTCGTAAGCTTTCTAAGGGCCCTTATATAACTGTTTTTCAGTCTTACCCTGTCATGTACATAATCAGAATAATTATACTGTTCTACTTAACAAATTATTATACATATTTCTTTAAGTTACGGAAACACTCAGGAAAAGAATAAACATGAAAGATTACCACGGTGTTAAGGATAAGTCTTCGTTGGCATTAATCAGCAGAAGCTGGCTTTTTTGTGTTTGTGCAAAGTGTCATGTCAGTTTAAGAAAAAGAAACTGGAAGTGATGCTATTATATAGAGATCAAACCTGGAGACAGAAGTTCAATATGAGTAACTAAATTTGTTTCCTTGTCCTCATTGAAATTCAGGGATCCAGAGATGATCTGAGTACCGCTGGAGGATTTCAGAATCAGGCAGCCATGAAACATGCTAATTCTGTAGATACCTCTTTTTCCAAAGATGTTCTTAACTCTATAGCAGGTATGAAAGTATTTGCATAAAAGTAGCGTACTGTTTTACTCTGCTGTCAGTATCCTTGTTAATTTTTTACATTCAGTTTATTTCTTTAAGCTCTGCAATAGAAGTTCTTCTTAAACTATCTTCTGCTCATTGGATTGTAAGTAGAGAAAGAACTTTAATTGTTATGAAGTTCCTTTTATGGAACCCCTTTCCAACATGGGGGTGGGGGGAATCGTCCTGTTTTTAGCTGCCTGGCTTGGGTTTTCAATCGAAATGCAATCTGCAGAGGTTCTTAACTCATAAAATGAACTATTCATCATAGCCCACTGCTTGGGAAGATTACTTCTGAATTTTCCACCCAGTGTGACCATTGAACATGTTGGTTGTGGAATTCCAAACAAGTACCCATTCAGAACACAATACTCATTACAATTAAAAATTCACTTCAGTTTGATCAATTGTGTCTGATAATGTGTCTAGAACCATCCATAACAACATATGTATCATTGTATTTATCTTTATTTGTATTTGCCTAATCTCTGTTACATGAACTCAAATCCATGGCCATTGAATGTCCTCATTTACTGAGCTACATTGTGTTTTCAATTGCATTGTCAGTCTTACATAACTGCATTTTGGGTTTTCATTCTTCTACTTAATTTCCATGTCCATAAACATCATTTTAGCATGTTCGTTGTGGCTTTCATTTCCAGCCTTTTCATCAGTAGCTATTTCTACAGCCAACCATGCAGACTCCAGAGGCTCCTTGGCAAGTCTTGACTCCAACCCTAGCACCAATGAAAAGAACAGTGAGCCAACAGAAGCCTGTGAAAAGGTGTGTATGTAAGCAAAAAGTAAAGTGCAATGTTTAGAACTGGAAGTATCTTTGATGAAAAGGAAGATCTTCTTAATTTCATTCCTCAACAGATTGCAAGACCACTATCTCTGATTGGCTCAGCCCTTCGCTTTGACAAACTGGATCAAGCTGAAACTAGAAGCCTTCTGATGTGTTTCCTTCAGATTATAAAAACAGTTTCAGAAGGTAGGGGGATAGTGTTGTGACAACTGCTTGCATTTTAATTGAGTTAATTATATATTTTTAGATTCATTTGGCACCAACACATCCAATAAACATTGGTTTAGGCTTTGAGTCAGTGGGGAACATATGACTCAGAGATGCTCTACAATTTCCATCAAATCTAACCGACATAGTCAGTTAGGGATGGAAGTAATTGGAGTTCAATAATATCTGGAAGACTAAATGTTTCCTACTACTCCAATTGATACAATAGTAGATGTATTAGCAAGACAAATACATCATGTAGTCCCCCATGAAGTGAAGCAACTTTTTTTCTGCCAAGTTTTGGCAGTCTTTGGTAATCCTGAAGTTGGAATTATGTTGGTGCCTTTATTTGCTTATGAGTAGAATTGAAGCCAGCAATGTCCCTCTGTCAGAGGAAGAAAAGATTACCTTGTCAAAAGTCTGAACTAACTAATCAGTGGAGAGGGATTGAAATTAGATCAAAGGCTTCTTGATGCCTTAGTTATATCCTATTTCAATTACTGTAGTGTGGTCTGTGTGGAACTTCCTTTCAAGAATGTTCACAAACTTCTGTTGGTCCAAGAAGCTGCAGCCAGATTGTTAAGAAAGCCTGGCTATAGGGAACAAGTACTCATCGGTTACTACAATCAGGCTAGATAGTGATGTATATCTGCATATAAATCAAAGTGCTGCTTATGGCCTATAGAGCCATATACACAGGCCTGTAGCGAGGGGGGGGGGTGTTTAGAAGTTCAACCCCCCCGAAATGTTTCAGATTTTTTTAAAAGCTGGTTTACTCATGAATTTTAACTGGTTAACCAAATCCCTATGCTAAGTCTATGAGATGCAAAAAATTAAGAGTCCCTCCAGAACCGTAAGCACTATCTCAAGCAAATATTGACAATTTATTCACACTGTCATTACTTGCAGCAATAGCCGATGTAGTGAAGCAACCAAGTTGGGTGTGTGTGTGTTGAATGCTCTCATTAAGGAGGCCAGACTTGGTGGAGGTGGTTGACAGGGGTGGAGCTGCAGGCTATTGAAGGCTGCTCTGCCCCCTGTTGTGCTCTTTGCTTCAGCGTGAGCTAGGAGGCAGGTTTCAACCCCCCCCCGTGAAATTTTCACCCCCCCCCAAATTTCAACCCCTCCCGAAATTTTTTTCTGGCAACGGCCCTGCATATAAATCTCAGGACTGTATTCTTCTACATGAGTCTGCCCAGGCTCTGAAATCTTCAGGGAAGGCTCTTCTTTCAGTCCTCCCATGGTCACAGGTAAATCTGCTGAGAACATGGGAGAGATACCTTTTGGTGACTTCTCTAAGGCTTTTGAACTGCAATTCTAGGAAGTTTGGAAAAGATTATAAGTTTTTGACAGTGTTCTATTTAGGAGTGATTACTGAACACATACACTGGGGAAGTTCAGTCTGGTGTAAACTAATAAGATAGGAACAAAGATGCATTTTTCTGTAGCCACAAGTAACAAAAATTGTTTCCAACAAATAACCATGATTACCTTGTTGCATCTGGACTGATGCCTTTTAATATGAAATATGGCTTAAAACAGTAAATAATGCATATGCATTTCAATGTTTTTATTTTCTAGATACATTGATCTCCTACTGGCAGAGAGCCCCATTCACAGAAATAACAGACTTTTTCAGCATTTTAGAGTAAGCTTACTCTGAGGTTTGTTCTTCCAAAGGTGATATATTGAAAGAGAAACAGAAAGAAAGAAAACAGAAATTCTTACATGTTGTGTTCAATGACACCCATGCTTTTTAATCTTCACATTGATTTTGTCTGTTTCTTTCTGCCCCAGTAGGACTGGATCTAGACTTAACCGTGCTTAACATAGACTCCTTGAAATCATCATCTTTTCTGTCTCTTCCAGTGGATCTCAGCTAAGCACTTTAAAACTAGATCAAGTCCATACATATTTATGAGTATAGGTTCCTTTTTATGTAATTTGGAACTCAATATCCCCATATCTTTTTGGATATTCTTTGGAACCAGATTGTGATATGTGAATGAATTTTGCCTTTGCATGGTTAGCTGTCTCTTGTGTAGAAGACAGTAAAGACCTTGCCTTGTATCATTAATATGGTACAGGATCACTATAAAATTAATCTCTGGCCTTTCTGTTGTGAAGCAAATGTATTATGTATTAATAACAAGACTCAAAATTTTTCTAATACCTTTTACAGGACCATCTATATACACTTTTCACTGGGAGACAAATTTTACTGAACTAAATATTCACATATAATATCCTGCAGTTAATGTCTCAGTGTTTACTTTTGTCAGCACTGTTGTCATGCCCATAGCTAGCCATATGCAGAATCAGTCATTTAATATATGTGAGACAAGTGACTACTTTTTGTCTCCATTTGTATTGGAAAGGAGATGAATATATTTGTCAATTTTATTAATCCGTATTTTGTAGTATTTGTTATATTCCTGTGTGACTTAAAGTCATTTCTAGCTTATGGTGACCCTAAGGCAAGCCTATCACAGTGTTTTCTAGGCAGGATTTGCTGTTGCCTTCCTCTGAGGCTGAGAGAGTGTGACTTGCCTCCTTTGAATCTCCTTTAGGAGAGAAAAGTGGAATAAAATAAATATAATAAATATATAATAATAATAATAATAATAATAATAATAATTGCCTGAGGTCACCCAGTGGGTTTCCATAGCTGAGCAGGGATTCAAACTCTGGTCTACAGGCTCATATCAAACACATGCTGGGAATTGTGATCCAACAATATTTGAAGGGCTGCATAAATACCACATTACCTTCAGATGTCTATCATATTTGATCTGTGGAATACTTATATTTACTTGTGATAAAGTTTGGTATCAAGTGAAATAGTTTGAATGCTTTTCTCTTTTTAAAAATCTTTCAGGGTTTGCCTTCAAAATTTCCGATATCTAGGAAAACGCAACATAATACGGTAATTACATTTTAGTCATTAATCATGGCAATATGAAATTTCATACACACTTCGAAGTTAGACTGTAATCTTCAGCAATGTCAGTTCATATGACATAAATACAGGTCAGGTTTTTGTAATGTAAACCTGAGTGCCAGTGCATTCGTCTTGAGAGAGTTCTAAATAATTTATCCTGCTTCAGCCAAATAACACATCCTACGATTCCAAATAATCCTTCCAATTAATGCATCCTACCTTAGAGTTGCCAGATTGGATCTATTCTCCTATAATTTTAATCCTTGACAGGTTTTACAGCAGCTAACAGAAATCTTCATCAATTAAAATGGATGTACCTGTACTCTTTGTCACTTCCCAAACACCAACATTTGGTTAAAACCATCCCCTCCCAACACAATTATGGCCTTCCTTGTGGAGAGCAAGTAGCATCCAGGTCGTTGCTTTTTAGTGGATAAATAGCAAGGCAATGAAGATGGAAGTTGGGTTTTGGAAGGTGAGATAAGTCAAGTACCTTTTCCTCATTTGCTGGAGCTTTATGATGCTTTGCCCTGCTCCAAGGAGTGTCAGGGATTGACATTGCAGGTGCACTGTCCCAAATCCAGTCCAGCAACCCTAGTTTGCCCTTAATTTGTGCCATTTAGATCTGGATGTCAAGGAATCATCCTGCCAAGCAGGCCAACACATCTGGAGAGAACCAAGGTGGGAAAGGTTATCCTATCTCATTGATATTAAGAAACTAGATACCACAGCTCAACCAAAAATACGTTCTCTGTGTGTTGGTTTTTAGGCCTGTTCCAGGGGTTGTTTGGGCTGCTGATTCAGAAAAAATATATATCGGATAGACTGCAACAACTCTAGTTTCTTCGATATGGTTATCATAATTTTCTCTGGGTGTTCAGATAAAGACTAGTATATGGCTTATGTTACGTATCTTAAAAGCTAGAGCTGATAAGGGAAACCCGGTACCATTTTTGGAATCAGCAGGTGAAATATGCCCTTAGATAGGCTAACATTAGAGACACCAAATGTGTCTCGGCTAGTGTAATTCATTACATATGACAGTTTGGCTAGAGCTGGGTTGCATGACGTTAACAGAACCTTCTTTGTTTATGTTTAAATTTTATAACCTCAATATTTGGCCTTACTATGATATACAGCAGGTAATACAGAGGCATACTGTAAGTAATATTTTGCAAGGATTACAGCCTGAGACATCCTTGTAAACAACCTTCTAACTCCAGTCTTAAAAGGAAGATAATGTTTTTATAGCCAAAAGCTTTGGCCATATTGTAATGACAGTAACTGTTTAAGTTGTAGTAATGATTTTCTCTGCCTGTTACATTTCCAGAAGTTAAAAATGACAGGAGAGTAAAATATCAATAAATGTATAAATTGATTTGGGATTTTTATTGTTTTGCCAGGTACATTTTTCACCCAGGCAATCTTATGCACTTAGTAATAAGTCTTGTTCTGTTCTATAGGAAAATGTGTTTAGGGTGTCAAGTTTACCTCTTTATTTATTTATTTTAGGAAAATCGCTGCTGCATTTAAATTTGCTCAAACCACCCAGAATAATGGAACGCTGAAAGGCTCTAACTCATCCTGTCAGGCATCTGGGCTTATTCCCCAGTGGTAAGAGTTACATTTCACTAATGAGCAATTAACTTCATTTCTGCTTAAAGGAAGCTACTGCAGCAGCACCACTAACTTGTTTTCTCTTGCCTTTTCTCACACAGTTCTTTAAAGAAAAGCCACACAACTATAATATCTGTGTACATTTGTATTGCATGCAGAATCGCCTCTCATATAGCAGTCAACTTATCAATCTAAACAGAACTTCATTTGCCTTGCCTCAGGACTGCTGAATGGACTGATCTGATTATATAGTTTTTGATGTTGTCTTAATATTTTGTGCACAGCAATAGCAAACACAGCTAATAGGGAGCATTAGCATGCAGGGCAAAATGGGGGTCAACACTAGTCTCCCAAGGGCCCTTCCCCACAGCCCTATATCCCAGAATGTCAAGGCAGAAAATCCCACATTTTCTGCTTTGAACTGGGATATATGGCAGTATGCACTCAGATAACCCAGTTCAAAAGCGGATATTGTGGGATTTTCTGCCTTGATATTCTGAAATATAGGACTGTGTGGAAGGACCCTAAGAGGTTCCTTGTCAACACTCTTGACACTCCTTTTCTTAAAGCCAGGGATGGAAATTTTCTGGCCTGTAGGCCACTTGTCCTTGTCACCCAGCTATTTTTGCAAGAAGAAAATTCCACCATTCCATTTAGGGTAGTTTGTTATTCTAAGCTAATTCTATTCCAGAACAAATAACTCTTTCCTACAACACAATTGTAGCCCTTTTATTTTCACCATAATGGCCACAGCTTTCTTCCATGGGATCTTGGAGTTTGTAGTTTTCATGACATATTCAAAATCCTCTGACAAAAAGCTCAGGTTCTTCATCAGACTACAAATCCCAGGTCTCTGTAGAATGCAGCCAAAGCTGTGAAAGTAGGATCAAAGTGCTATAATTATGAAGTCTGAGATTTGTGAAGTTGTTCTACCACCACCCCTCTCTCACACATACACACCATTTTATTTTAAAAACTCTGTGCGTCTCCCACAAAACTGGAAGTTTATTATTTCTCCTGAGAGGCATTATCATTGTTATCACCCTTCTGCTATCATCATTGCTATAAGACTGTGAAAATCATATTACTACTTTAAAGGTAAAAGCTAGGTAAGAGAATACAGAAGATGTATCTTTCTCTCTAGGGTCACTCTAGTTGCCTCATTCCTTCCCAATGGATGTCAAGGTCACTTCATCCTTATAAAGCTTTGATAGACAGCCAAGACTATACTGTTTTGTATGGAATTTTGTCATTAAAATGGGCAGGGCATATAGTTCAAGGAAATGTGCTAGAGCTCTCTTGCAGAATGTTCTAAGTGCTAGAGGGCAGATTGCAGGATTTGACAGAATGTAGACATGACAGTTAAAGTGGTATCAAATTGCTGTCATTATGTACTACAGATAACACCTTGAATTCTGAGCATCTTATAAAACATACACATTAAGTGCTTATTTTGGAAAACATATCCTGCCTTATGACATGTGAATGCTTCATTCTGTTTTTCTTCTGTTTTATACCTATTTTACACATTTTAGTGAAGATGAAGCAGGTAAACAATGCATTGCATATCTTTTCTTCTATGTTCCATTATTAGTAAAACAAAATCATATGCAGCATACTAAATACATACCTCAAATTAGTCATTTGATGCCTCATGTTACGTAATACCGCCTGTGAAGCTCACAAGCATAATTGTCCTTATTGAATCTCACAAGTATAATTGATTTAAAATTGTACCCATAGTCTCTGGCACAAAATGTTCCACGCATAAACTCCAACACTCGAGTTGTAAATAAACACAAAAGGAATACAGTTGCCTAGCTACCTAGGTTGCATAATGTGAGTGAATAAAACATTAATTAAGAGTAGTTGTAAGTTGAATGATGGAGGAATGAAGTAGCAGGCAATGTGCCATTTCCAAAATTCTGCTGGTTTACTTTAGACAGGGTTAGGGTTCCTCTGCTCATACCTTTCCTAGTGACTTTCTGATCCCACCTAATTTCTTTCAGCTTTTTTATGCTTTGGAATATTCTTTTAGGAGATTGTCCATCCCCTAAACAGGAGCCAAGATCTTTCTTCGTGGTGCCATAAGAAACATGTGGGACTAGTCAAAGCTGTAGGCATAAGGTATAACAATTAATCAAAACACTCTATCTTTTCATTTCATAGGATACATTCTGCTTCCAGCAGTGAGGTTCACAGGCATCACAGATCTCAAACTTTACCAATCATCCGTGGCAAAAATCCTTTTTCGAATCCAAAGCTTCTACAGATAATAGACAGCACCATTGCAAGTAAGCAAAAAAGAAGACTGTATAGTCAAGTTACCAAACATATTTTGCTGTCTTATGGAATTCTACCATGGTGTGGAAATCATACACTGGAATAAATGGAAGGCTCTGATTAGGTGGCCCAGAGTATTCTTGGCTCTTAGCTGTCATTTAAAGATAAGGAGTGAAGGAAGCAAGTGGACCTTCTACGGACATCACAAAGTCTTTGGTTTCTTCCTTCCTTTGTCTTTCCCTGGCTATGGTTCAGTGTATGCATATATGTGGGGAAATTGACAAGTGGGAAAAATGGCCCAACTGAACATTATGACTGCCTAAGCATTCCACATATAACTATATGATTCAAATATAATGTATGGTTATAATGTACACAGTGGGATACTGTAGCACTTTTGAGATTGACAGAAAGAATTTTATGGCATAAGCTTTCATACACTATGTATCTAATGAAGATGACTCGGTCTACAAAAGCTTATGCTCCAAACGCCTTTCTCTTCTCAAAGGTGCTACAATATCCCTTCCAGACTGATATGACTATGTCTTTATAGTAGACATATAGTATTATGTAGAGCTACATTTCGGAAATAATGGGGGTGCATCCTCTATCTCATCTGCAGGGAGTAGGCAGGCTTTGGGTGTTGTGTAGGAAAAACTGCCTTCCAACCAGTTAAAATGCCATTAAAATGCCTGATCTTTTCTAAACATGCTCTGCCTTTATTAGCTTTTCCATGATATTTATGTTGTTGTAGGTGGCTCAAATGAAACAGATATTGTGAGCTACGTTGATACTGAAGCCAACATCGCTACGGAAGTTTGCCTTGCTATTCTTGATCTATTATGTCTTTTCACTCAACATCACCAGGTATCATTTTCATATCTCAAAATCATGACATGATGCTTACAGTGCCAATCACCATTTCTATGGTTTCTGCCAATCCATCATTTTATCAATGCATGGGATATTTATTCATGAATGACATCAAACAATGGAAATGTCGTATCTGTGCAGAATATATAAATCATGCTTTCAAATACTATTCTAGGCTACTATGCTTCACATAACACATTACAGTGTTTTCTTCTTTTGAGGATTACATAATACTTTCATCCATTATCATAGTTCTTTCTTGCTTATGTCAGATTTACCAAGCCACATTTTTTGCTCATGTCAAGTTTGCCATGCAATATGTACAGCAATATAAACATTGTGATAGACATTTGCATGTGGGGCATATATAGATTTACTACCTTTATTATTTTTCAATGGAAATATTAGTGAAAAGGGTTGATTTATATATAACCCACTCACTTTGCACATAACTACATTTCCCGAAGTGCATAAAATGATGGTTCATAGCATCCAGTGCAGGGGCATGAAACCTGTGGCTCTCCAGAAGTTACTGAACTACAGCTTCCATCATTCCTTATAAATGATTGTCTGGATGATCTTTTTTAAAAAATTGATACAATGAAAAAGTATATAATTATCCAGGTATTTATTTATCATGTCATCAGCAACCAGACATTTATCCAGGTAAAGTGGGGGAACAATTTGATTTAAAGGAGAGTAGGAAAAAAGGATAAAGAAATAGAAGTGAATACAAATTATGAGTATCTAATAATATCTGAACAAAAGAACAAAAAATACAAAAGGAAGAAACTGAGAAAAAAGGGGGAAAATATAAAAAAGATTATTAAAGAAATTTTGACTTCCATCTAATCCTTTGCTATTCCAAATTTATTACCTACGTCATCTTCCAAATTAGAACGGAAACTCCTAAAAATTGAGAAAAAAAGACAAGTCTAAAGGTTTAACCACCCTCACATCCAATCATGATATATTGTTCATAATTAGGTTTCTTTATTTTTCTTTTCTACATATTTCTCCAACTGTAACCAGTTTGTTGTTTGTCTCATATTTCTTATGTCTTTGGGTGGTTTCTTAAAGTTTCTTGAAGATCACTTTAGTTAGCTTTCCCCATTAGTAAGGGTATTTCCCGCTCCGGAATTAGAATATATTTGAGATACTTACACCCTCTCGCCGTTCCGGGGAGGGATCTGTTTGATTTTGTATTCTTCTGTTGAAAGTGGCGCTGGTCGGCAGTGAATGCAGGCTTACCCTGCTTTCCATGGAGCTGCCCGCTACTCACGGCTTCTTTCCCAGACCCTCTTGACTCCCTCCCTTGAGGGGTAAGGGGGCCTTTGAGGTCTTTAGGTGATGCCGATCGGGTTTCGCGTTCCCCCAACTCTTGATCCGGTTGAGGAGGGGAGCTATAGGCTCAAAGTGGTGCCATGCTGTCCCACCGAAAGTCCATTTTTTCTGGATGGTCTTGATGGGAATTGGAGTCCAGCAATACCTGGAGAGTTAAATTTCCCTGCTCTGATCTCCTGAGTTTTTAAGTTACACAATTCTAGAGAAATAGACAACACAAGCAGGCTAGAATGTGTGTGGTAAGACCTCACATGTTTACACAGAGGGGTATGTGTTTAATTTAAAAAGCTGAAGTTCCAAAGAATCCATACAAGCATTCTGAGACATGTTTTATTCGGTCTTATAAATCCATATTTAGGTTGTGATCCATCATCTATGTAGGACACCAAATTTAAATTTGAACTGGTAGAAATACAGGTGATTTGCAGTAGGTTATCAAAGCATCAATCCAGGGGCAAAACTATTGAAATAAATGACTGAGTAAGGAGACTAAAAGACCCTGAGTGTAGTTTTGGGAGAGAAAATATTCCTTTGTGGCACATCTGGATGTGCTCAGAGATACCATTTACATTATGTTGCAATGTATGTCTGACCCCCGCCCCCCAGCTATTTTTAAAATTTGCATCTAGTTGATGGATCTTTGGAATTCTAGCAATAACTATGACAGCAGTGGCAGAAACACCAAAATAGAAGCCTTAAATGTAAAACCTATTGTACAAGTCAAAGAAGAAGAGTTGTTTGCAGAGTCTTATACCCTGCCTTGTAAACATTTAGTTCACTGTTTTTAGGTGCCTTCAACTTGTTCTCAACTTATCGTAACCCTAAAGCCTTAGAGGGCATTTGCCTTCTGAGGCTGAGAGCACGTGAGTTGCCCAGTGAGTTTTTATGGTCAAGGAGGGTTTTGAACGTTGCTTTCCTACAGTCTTAGCCCAACACCCAAACCACTACACCACATTGACTCTTCTTTAATTAATGCATACATTTACATTATGTTAGTAGTGTAGGAACCTGTTTGATGTCTTTTCAGATACTTTTAACTCCATATTAACCATCTTGCTAAGAGGCAACTCTTATTTGGGTCTTTGCTAGTCTTCCCCAGGGATGCCATGGGTGCTTTATTCCTGTAATTGACCACTGAGATACAATCCTTCCACTGTGGAGATTAGGATAGAGGCATTGTCCCAAAGGCTCTATAGAAAATTTAAGTTTGAAAATAGAGAGAGGGATCATGAAAGTGTCTTGGGAGTTCCTCTCTTAATGGGCACCAAGGGAAAAAAAATAGCAGAATTGGGAGCATGGCTGCATATTGTTAAATGAAGCTGAAAAACGTGCATGACCGCATTTCTGCGTAACCAGGCATGTAGCCGGGGGAGGGCCTTGGGGGGCTTCAGCCCCCCCCCCCGGAATTCTCATGGTGGTCCGCGAGAAGGCCTTACTGGTGCATTATTTAACCTGTTATGTTTATTCATATAATGATCTGATCACCATGCTCAATATATCCCATATGCATCGGGGTATTGGGGCAACGATACAAAAGGTTTGCTAGGGTAGACCCTCTTTCTCTCAGACTCAGCACCCCCCAAACCAAACTCAGCCCCCCCCCATCCGAAACAAAATCCTGGCTACGGGCCTGTGCGTGATTGCATTTCTGTGTACAAACCCACACAATCTCTTCAATCATCTGGAGAGGCCCTGCTCGTGCTCCTGCCTCCCTCGCAGGCGCGATTGGTGGGGACGAGGGAGAGGGCCTTCTCGGTGGTGGCCCCTCGACTCTGGAACTCACTTCCCAAGGATATCAGGCATACCCCAACATTGGCAGTCTTTAGGAGGAGCCTGAAAACGTGGCTGTTCCAGTGTGCCTTCCCAGAATAAGGAAATAATTCCCAGCAATATGTCCTCAGAATGGACTTTAACTATTGGATTGCATTGGATTGCACTCCCCTCACTTCTTTAAAACCCTCCTACTAGATATATCCTACCTTGTTCATGCCCAGCGTTATTTTTTAAATTTTAAACTATTACATTTGGCCAGGCCTTAGGTTTTTAAATCCTTGTATGTTATTGCCTATATGTGATTTATATTAATTTGTATTGTATTGTATTGTATTATTTATTGCTTTTCTGTTTTATTGATGTGTTGTTGGGCTTGCCCTCATGTAAGCCGCTCCGAGTCTTTTGGGGAAATGGTGGTGGGGTATAAATAAAGTATTATTATTATTATTATTAACAACAGACAATTGACATGAAAAATAAAGTATATAAGGGAGAAAAAGGAAACTAAAGAAAGTTATGTGATTTAATCTCAAAAGCTGAAATAATGTATTGTTAATATTTCAGAGGCAATTGCAACTGTCAGATTGTCAGAATACACTAATGAAGAAAGTATTTGATACCTACCTACTGTTTTTACAAATCAATCATTCTGCAGCAGCCCTCAAGCATGTATTTGCTGCTCTGAGGTTGCTTGTGAGTAAGGTAAGTGTCTGTGTGACAGATACTAATTGTTGTTGAAACAACCTAGACTAATTTCTGGAAAAATGTAAAAATCAAAGTAAAATTTCAGACTTTTTCAAACAAAAAAATTGATTTTGATTTCAGAATTTGATCTTGAAATTGGAGCACTCTAGACAGTCTGTTGCCTACATCATCTTTACCAGAGTTCATGTATCGAATGCCATCTCTGTAGTCACAATTAAATGCTCTCAGAATTCCATCAAGTGTTTTGCATACATTGAATCAATTGCAAGAGATGTGTAGAAAAGCACTAAAGATCCATTTGAGCTCATGTTCAACCAATACAAGAACAGTAGACAGCTGCTTGTTACCATGTCAGAGTCGTCCCAGCAACCAATATTGAAAAACAGATATTATGAAGTATTTTCATCAAATAGCTTTCCCCTTCTCTGTGATCATTCTGTTCCCTGCTGTCCATCCAGCACTCATAGTGATTGTCTAACAATGTAATTTTAGCATACTAGTTTAGACAAGATAATTATGTATTATTACTACGTTTATTTATGCTTGTTTTCTCTCTCCACAAGGAGACTCGATGCTGCTTACGTTAAAAGCATTTCAATATAATTTAAAATCTACAAATATACTGACATTAAAACAGAATTAGATATCAGTAGTACTTTTAAAAATCACAATTACAATCCATAAAAACATATTCAAAGGTAAAAACCATAGCATGAAGATGGCTGTGCCTCTTGTTTCTGTGAGTTACTCACACAACATGAGACTATAATACTTTTCCCCCCAAACATGTGATATTGTAACTCGTAATGCCATATATTCCTATGACCAGTGGAGATATAATAGGCAGAAGCAGTTTTACATTACATGTCAGACTGCCAGTAGATTATGGGCTTGTCTACACCAGCCCAAAATTCTGAATCATAGAATCATAGAGTTGGAAGATACCTCGTGAGCCATGCAGTCCAAATCTCTGCCAAGAAGAAGGGAAATCACAGCCAAAGTGGCCCGGAATTCTCTACTGGATGTGTTAACAATGTCCAAGGACTTTTGGTTCTTAACCAGGGTAGTAAACTGAATTGAATCATTTTATCCCCTTGCTAAGAAAAGTTGGGGAATGCTCTGGTATTTTGGTAAAACTCAGGATGAGTCTACTGGCTCTGACGCAAACCAGTCCACTGTCCACACAGGCTGGCACTGCCAACCTCTTTGCTCCCTTCTTCTCCCTGGTTGGATGGGCACGTCTGCTGATGTCATTACAGGGCTCCCATGATAGCCACGAGCTCTTCTAGAGCTCTGTGACCATCCAACAGCAGTGATGACAACATGGGAGGAAGGTGGCAGTCAAGTTGTGTCAAATACGTTTTAGCCCAGTAGACTCCTGCACTTCACATTAGTTATGGAAGTGTGTAAACACCTCCATGTCTGGCCAAGAAATAGCTCCAGACTGGCCCTGAAATAACTGATCAGTGTAGACAAGCCTTATAAGAGGGGAGAGTAGGAGTTGAGAAGTAGAGATCATCAGATTCATGTCCTTATTGAATGAAAAGGAAAGAGGGTAGACTTGTAAACTTTCCAAAAGTATACATAGGGCACTGTTCTGTATGACAATGTGAATTTAGAAAACTTTGTTGCTTCATTTGAACATTTCTTTAATGGCGTCTTTCTAATAAATAGCATCTAGATTAGATCGCTCTCCTTTTATAATGTATTTAGATTTAGATGAAAGAAATAGGGAAGCTCTGTCTCTAGTCAGGTTTTGAATCTCAAAAAGATATTACAAGTATAATGGTAATGCAATGGATAAGAGACTGGAAGTGTAATCTATCTATCTATTGATCGATCGATTGATTGATTTCCTGTCTTTTACCACAGGATCTACAGCATCTAGAATTCATTAAGTGATCTCCCATTCAAGTACTAACCAGGTCTGACCTTGCTTAGTTTCCAAGATCAGATGGGATTGAGTGCTTTGACAGTATTTAGCCTGTGTAGAGATGTGCAAAGTCCCCAGCTACCTTCCAGCAGTGTTTTATGTTACCTATCAACAGTCTGTGGTCAAGCTGTACTGATTCTTTCTGTACATTTTTTTCTCCGTAGTTTCCTTCAGCTTTCTTCCAGGGTCAAGCTGACTTGTGTGGTTCATTCTGTTATGAGATTCTTAAGTGCTGCAATCACAGGTCACGGTCAACTCAAACAGAAGCCTCTGCTCTGCTTTATTTTTTCATGAGAAAAAACTTTGAATTTAATAAACAGAAGTCAATTGTCAGGTCTCATTTGCAGGTGAGTAAATCTGATGGTTTGGTAAGTCAACACTAAATCTAGTAAGTCAACACTATTGCTGTTGTGATATTACTTGAATTAATTTCTCGACTACATCCAAGAGAACAGTAATGTATATCAACAGAACCTATACAGCTCCCAAGACACTTCGGTTAGCTCACATTACTCTTTTCCTTAGCACTAATCCCAGCCTCCTGTGGCATACTGCAGTCTTCCTACTCTACCCAATGGAATTGCTGATCCTGCTGAGATTCAATATAGGGTTTTGATACCAAAACTTCTAAAAAACTGCTCATTACTTCTTTATTCTTTATTTATTTACTTCAATTATACCTACCTATCTCCCACTCAGGGGACTCGAGGTGGTTTACAACTCCGGTACAATTCAATACCAGCAAAATCTACAGTAAAAACAAAAACATAAGATGGTTAATAGTCAATCAACACATTAAAACAGTAAACAGATTAAAACATATAAAGTGCACAATTCCATTCATCCAATATCCTTGTTCATAATCAATGTTCAAATCTTATCGAAGCTTGTAGTCACTTATTCTTCAAACACTTGTGTACAAAGCCATGTTTTTAACTTTTTTCTAAAACCTATAAGGGATGAGGCCTGCCTGATGTCACTAGGGAGGAGTTCCACAGCTGAGGGACCACTACTGAAAAGGCTCTGTCTCTCATCCCCACCAATTGCACTTGCAAAGAGGGTGGGGCCAAGAGCAGAGCCTCCCCAGACACATATGGAGAACTGGGGCTATTCTCAATGTGTATTATGTTGGGCTGTAACTTCTTGGAAAGAATTAGGATTTGCCAGTTTGATTTCCTTGCGCTAACATTCATTTTTTTCTTTTTTTATCACATTTAGCTAATCAAAGCTGTAAGTCAACTGATTGCAGATGCGGGAATTGGAGGCTCTCGGTTTCAGCACTCACTAGCAATTACAAATAACTTTGCTAATGGAGACAAGCAAATGAAAGTAAGAATTATTTTTGTTTGTGATGGCTACAGGTGAATGGGTCCTAAGACAACCTTCTACCTACTATTGTTTCCTTTCTTATTGCCACACACAAAACATTGCAAATAGAAAAAAACATAGAAAATGTATTCCATTTTCCGTTGTCTCTGATGTGCATAATTCATTGATCACTAATTTTGACATCTTTCCTAAATGGTGCTGTAGTGCCACTGCAGTCATTTCTGACATAAATCATTTATTCTCTTTCAATTTATCATTTAAGGGAATGTTAAATTGCCCAGGTTTTTGTGGGCTTTTGAAGAATTGCTTTAGGTATCTTTTCTTCTGCTTCATCAAGTCATGCCTTTCTGATTTATGAAGAATCCAGAGGCAGATACGTTTTGCCCTGCTAGCATCCAGTGGAATCTTGGCAACATTTCCAATCTCTTCATTTTTCAACTTTAAGAGATGCTCCACATAAAACTACTGTAATTCATATTGTCTGTCTGTCTGTCTGTCCACCCTTTTCACCCAAGATTGGCTTACAGTGTGATAGATTGCAGTTGCAAGTCACACTGTAAGTCAGTCTTGGATGATAGATAGACAGACAGACAGACAGACAGACATGAATTACAGCTGTTTTGTGTGGCTCAGATATCTGTAAGGTTCTTAAAGTTGAAAATGAAGAGCTTGGAAATGTTGCTGAGATTCTGTTTGCTGCTAGCAGAGTACAAAGTCTTACTAGCATATGTCCATGGGATTTTGTGATTTGAGAATTATGTGATACGGTTAATGCTTCCAAAGAATTTGTACTGCCCGTAGTGAAGCAGTCAATGACTATCTTGACTTGTAGCAGGGGAGGAGCTGAACCAGTTCGGCCACCCAGAAAAAGGAGATAGTGGAAGAAATAAGACAGAACCTGTGGACAAAAATAGCTCAGATGCCATCCTGTACAAGCTTAGAAAAGATATAACTATAACCATACAAGCAATTGAATATTGCATGAGTTACTGTTACTCTGGATCTGAAATCTTTTCACTAATTTATATATTCACTTGGGAAGGAATATTTCAGAAATGCCTGGGAAATGAGACATATCTGTGTTCCTCTGCATGGCTAATTATGTGAAGCCAGCACAACATAGGTGATAAACTTTTTAATGCCGCATCAAGTAAACAGAACAAGAGAAAATATACAAAATGTAATCCAGTGCAATGCAATCGCTACCTTTAATTATGGGCACAGTCCCATTGACTATGGGGCACTGAATGAAAGAATTCTGAAGTGGCATCTATAAATGTAGTGGTTGTGTATATCAGTTGCCACCTGATCCAACTTCATGCAATTTAGTATAATAAAAGTGGATTCTCCATGCTGAATAATTGCTATGTTGCTCTCCCCCTCAAAGAACAGTAACTTCCCAGCAGAAGTGAAAGACTTGACCAAACGCATACGGACAGTTTTAATGGCTACAGCTCAGATGAAAGAACATGAGAAGGATCCTGAAATGCTGGTAGATTTGCAGTACAGTCTGGCCAATTCATATGCCAGTACACCTGAATTACGGCGGACCTGGCTGGAGAGTATGGCCAAGATTCATGCTAGAAGCGGAGATTTATCTGAGGTAACTAATGCACTGTCAGCATGTGGAGCAGAGACTTTGTTTTACAAATCTCATGCTCAGTGTAGTCAATATTGTTAGGCTTTTCACATGATTGTATTGGTAATTTTAACTGGCACTTGCCTCAGGTAAATACATCATTATCAATTTGTTGTTTTGCTTAACTTGAAACATTTATTTTTCTATCATGCAAAATAACAGATTCAATTTTTACATTTTGGGACACTTATAGGAAACATATGGGTTATTTGGTATTAAAACTTATTTATGTTTGTTGTTGTTATTGCAGGCTGCTATGTGCTACATCCATATAGCTGCCCTTATTGCTGAATATCTGAAACGAAAGGGTAAGATAAAATATATCCAGATACTATCCACTGATATAGAAAACAGTGAAACATGAGACCAAATTCCATATGACCTACATCTATCTGATGAGATTCATGGTTTTTAGTAATTATCTCTTAAGCTGCTTTCATTCTGTTTCCTGTGCAAGATATGATAACGAGTAAAAATGCTATTTTCAACAATGTTGCAGAACGTGGAAAGATTTCTTTCTTTTTGGATTTAATTCCCATACTAGATGAGAGATTCTTAGAGTTGTAGTTGTACTCCAAATAAATACATAAATTCCATGCTCTGCAACCTTGTATATTGTGTGAATAAATGAATGACACTTGTACTCGTTTTTCGAAAAGAGGGTGGGTTTTTGCATCTCATTTCATAGCATATATCATTAAATATGCATGTATTAACCCATTGAGATAGCAGAACACTAATAACATCTCACACTATCATAGGTTACTGGAAAATGGAAAAGATTTGTACTTCTCGTATGCTCCTGGAAGATGCTGAACTCTCTGATAGTAATGTCTTACTAACAACTCACACTGGAGGAAGTGAGTGTTCTAACCACATCTGTTTATGGGATAGACAACAACCTTCAAACCAGCTGCCTGCACAAACTATAGCAATTTAAGGAAAGAACAAGTTTACAAATTTTTCTGTTGGATATCAACTCTGATTCTATTCTCTCTGGTTATATTACTGGTTTTGAAGGCTGGGTCATGTGTTTAAAGTTTTTCATTGTAACAATATATGCATCTTTGATACAAGGATTATCCAAAACAACTCCACATGTTAAGTTGATGCTAAGTTCAGGAAGGGTATTATACTGCTAAGCATGACAAACAATGGTGTAATTGCATGTTCACCTTTGAGAGCAGATTCTGCTGTTTGCAGAGGTCACTCGCTCCTGCAAGGGACAATCCTAAATACGCAGTGTGCATTGCTCTTGTGTTGAGTCAACATGCCCATTTCTGCGAGTCCCATGGTGCCAGCAGTGATGCTGCCAATGATGCTGCCCTGGTGAAAAATGCCATCCTAACTACTAGCTAGTCTTCTACAGCTGGAAGAACTTCCTTTCATTCTTGATAGGACCAATATCCTACAGCAGTGGTTCTCAACCTGTGGGTCCCCAGATGTTTTGGTCTTCAACTCCCAGAAATCCTAACAGTTGTTAAACTGGCTGGGATTTCTGGGAGTTGTAGGACAAAACTCCTGGGGACCCACAGGTTGAGAACCACTGTCCTACAGGAAGCCAAGGGGTTTCAATATTTATTACTCCCCCAGTATTCTTCCCCATTCACACTCTAGTGGCCATAGAGAGCAGATGTTTGGGAGGAGTTAATGTCTGCATTGTGGTGGAAGAAAAAGATGAAAGTTAGCAATCCTATGCTCAGAGGACACTAACCCCAGAAGAGCAAACCTCAGATCCAAGCCAGTGATAGATGTGTCTTACCAGAATTTGTTTCTGCAGAAATTTTGGAGCTTGGAGTTCACTCATTACAAGTAATGATGCCTCATTTAACCACGTTGCTGTGGTTAAATAGCATTTTCTAAAGATACTTTTTTCCTTTGGCAACCAGTAACATTTAATTATTACTGTGTTAGGGATTTTGTGGGATCAAATTCTCTAAACCCTTGAGGGGCTTTTAAAAAGTGGGGGGGGGGGGGCACAAAACAACAAGAGAATAATAAAATATTAATAAAATATAGAGAAAAATTCACAATATTTTTTCGAATTATGATAACCATGGACTACATTTTAAAAATGGAATTGAATAATAATAATGATTCCTATCAAAATGAGGGAGGCTAAATATTTACTGTAGCACTTTCACCAAGCTATGAAGTGGATAAATATGAATGATATCAACATAAGTACGCAATTCTCACTGTTATAGAATAGCTTCTTTGATAGAGATGCAGATACTAAGATGGAGGAATGGATCTAGGAAAAGAAACAAATGATTGGAAAGAAATGATTGGCACTCAGAAAAGAGGAAGACCACATTACAGATCAATTGGCTCAATTATGAAAGCCGCAGTGCTGAGTCTACATAACCTGGACCTAGCTTTTGATGGTCAGGACTCTGCAAGGATCACCACAAGTCAAAGCCACTTGGTGGCAAATAGCAAAAACATATCCCAAGTTCTCAAAAGCCAAGTGTAATCCTAATCATCTATTAATTTGCATTTACTTAAGATAATTACATGAATATGGATGAATACCAATTTCCTTATTCATTATAGTACAACTCCCTTATTCATGAATTAAATATCCATGGTTTCACTTACCACAAAAAAAGCCACCCCTCCAGAGGTGTTGTGGGCTTTTCTGCGTCTCTCCTGGTCAGTAAATATCTATGGTATGGATCTGGCCCAGGTCCATGGATTCAGATATTCATGGTAATTCTTAGAATACATGCTTGTGAATACAAAGGTCATACTGTATAGTGTGTTTGGAAAAGGATAGTGGAATGAAAATTATGCAGCTCAAATTACATTGGATCCAAGTTGGAATTAATTTGGATGAAAATTAATTCACTTGAGTCAAGTTCATTCTAGATTAGGTGAGTTTGCCCATCTCTCATAAATACATTATTAAAAAGGCATTCATATTTTTGCAATTTCAGACTAAACACAACATTTACATATGCTTCTTTCTGTTGGGAGGTTTATTTATGAAAAAGCTAGGAGCACTGTGTTTTTATGAAATTATAAATGTCATGCCTTATCCTTACAATTAGTTTTGGTCTCATGAAGACTTCCTCAAATAGTGCTTTTTGGACAAGGATATGCTTTGCCAGAATCATCATATTTTAACTGTTCCTACCTTGGCAAACAACTTAATGAACAGGATGGCTTTATAATAACCCATCACAAATCTAATGTGCTACATTCTTCTCTTCATCTATTGAACTGTAAAAAGCAATGATTCCTTTTTTAAACCTACTAATTACTTTAAGGGCTTAATATAGAAGCATTCATGAGATTCTTTCTCTCATTTTAAAGGCTTATTTTCTATGGGATGGCCAGCTTTCCTCAATATTACACCAAATATTAAAGAAGAAGGGGCTATGAAAGAAGACTCTGGAATGCAGGATACACCATACAACGAGGTCAGCATTGCTAATTTTCTTGCCTTCTTTGAAGAAGATTCACTGGGTGCATTTACAGGTCAAGATTAGCCAAGGATTTTTTTAACACAATCATTGAGATCATGCACACTGCCCAGTTGTTGCTACTTGTGGTAGAATTAAACTATAAACAAGTCTGGGGCTGTACTCTGCTCTGTATTTTGAAACATGCAAACCCGGGAACTTTGCTTTATTTCTCTTCCAATAATACAAGCAGAAACCACAATTTGTTCTATATTTATTGTCGAAGGCTTTCATGGCCAGAATCACTATGTTGTTTTAAGTTTTTTGGGATGTATGGCCATGTTCTATAGTCGTTTGGGGCTTCTGTCTAGTTTATCAGATAAGATGGAAAATATTTGCTATTATTCATTTATTGGTAGAAAAATGAGTTTTCCAGCATTCAAGAAAAGTAGAGAAGAATACAGTGGTGAAAATTTTGCTCTGTTTTTACCCAATAGTTGCATATCCCAAACTGTTTGAGGAAATGATTCTACACAGAAAAAAAAATTTGCATGACAACAGTGTCGAAATCTATTTTTTCATGGAATATCACATGTTTATTTAAAGTCATGGCAGTTTCTTGCGTGCATTTAATATCCAGTAGCCACTTATTCTTGGCCAATGTACTCATGGTCTATGATTCCAGCCAGGGGATCACATTCCACTGTTGTGGGGTGTGTGTGTGTGTCTGTCTTTCTTTCTTTCTTTCTTTCTTTCTTTCTTTCTTTCTTTCTTTCTTGCTGGAACTATGGGCTACTGGTTGTGTTACATAAATGCAAAAAATCATGCTGTCTTTATGTGTTTGCAGAGCACATGTTATGATGCACATCTCCACATATGTCACCATGCAAAATCTACTGTAATATTTTCGTTTTCATTATTATTAATTTTTATTTGCACATAAAAGTTGTGTATTACTTCTCATCAACTCCCCCCTTTCCTTGTATCCTAGCTGAAGTAAAAAAGTAGCAGCAATTTTCAAAACCCTGCTGTGCACTTTAATCTATTCCCAAAATAAGCTTTTGGCTTTCATTCCATCTACTTTCAACACAGACCTAACATTCTTTTTATGTGTGGAATTGCAGAACATCCTTGTGGAACAGTTGGAATTGTGTGTGGACTATTTGTGGAAATCTGAAAGATACGAGCTAATTGCTGAAGTTAACAAGCCAATCATTGCAGTATTTGAGAAACAAAGAGACTTCAAGGTAAGCCAAGCTAAAATTAAGCCCTGGGAAGTGTATGCTATCTATTAGATGGATGACTGCTTTTATTATTATTTTCCACATTACCACTCCATTAGTAGCTCAGTGGTTTAACAATATACATGGGGAACATTTTGACTTCCAGATGTTTTAAGCAAGCTTGGAAATGTTACCTTTTCAAATTACAGAATGTCCCAGCTAGCCCAGACAGTGGCTGGAAGATTCCTGGAATTGTAACCCGAACAAATAGTTTTTCCAAATTCTGGTTTGGACTAGAGCTGCTACTACTTCTTATTGTTGGCTATACTGGGAGAGGCTGACGGAAGCTGTAGGCCAAATATTTCCCAGCCTTGATTTACATTCTGTGAGAAGAGTGGCAAAAGCAAGGAGTTACTGTGGTTTTTGAATGCATAAGGTTTGTTCTTCAGGTAGATGATGATGATGATCACGATTGTGGGAAAGAAAAAAGTTTGGATTATTGATGTCACCATACCAGGTGAGGAAAAACAACAGGAAAAACTCAGCCATTATCAGGACCTCAAAATCAAACTGCAAAGGCTCTGGCATAAATCAGTATAGGTAGTCCCGGTGGTAGTTGGCACACTGGATGCCATGCCAAAAGATCTCAGCTGGTATTTGGAAACAATAAACATTAACAAAATCATGATCTGTCAACTGCAAAAGGTCACCTTACTTGGATCTGCACGCATCATTCGAAAATACATCACACAGTCCTAGACGCTTGGGAAGTGTTTGACTTGTGATTTTGTGATATGAAATCCAGCATATATATCTTGTTTGCTGTGACATACCATGTTTTTGTGTCAGTAAAATAATAATAATAATAATAATAATAATAATAATAATACTTTATTTGTATACTGTCCTACCTCCCCAAGGGGACTCAGGGCAATTCCCAACATATAAGGCAAAACATTCAGTTGCCGGAAAGGAAAACCATACAGACAAATTAAAATAAACATCATAAAACATAAAAACCTGCTAAAACATACACAAAAAAATAAAAACCAATTTCATTACAGCTCCATCAGATGGGTTCAAACTATCAACAGCCAGGATCAGAAAATGGATGTGGCCAATATAAAAAGGCTGGGCAAGGGGTAGTGCAAGAGAGTATCATAGGGCCAGGGAAGTGGATAAAGTGCAGATTTTTTTAAAAAAAATTTATTTCAAACATTTTTACCCCACCCTTCTCAACTCCTAGGGGGACTCAGGGCAGCTTCCAATTGTGGGAAAGAAAATAATAATTCAATGCCGCATCATAAAATACAAAATAGCAAATATAACAATTAAAAAACATGAACATTAATAAATAAAGATTAAAACAGTATACTTACACGATCCATTTAGCTATTAGAACAGAGTACTATCTAATGGCCTAGGGGAAGGGCCTAGATAGCAAAATTCTCCAAGTAGTAAATAAAACCAAGGCTAAGGTTGAATGTTTTTAATATCTTGGTTCTTTAGTAACCAATGGGAAATTAGTTTGATGATTTATAAGCAGTTTTGCATAGAGTAAATATTAATGTGCTAGAAATTCTCACCACAGTTGATACGAGGCCTTACCAGAAAGCAGATAGCTAACAGCATGAGAAAGATCCACACATTTACTCTGTCATTACAATCACATAATTAATGAGGGTCTTCCAACCATATGACTGCATTTTAGGGAGTTCGATCTTAGTACATAACATTTCACCATCAAATGCAATATTGCATACAGGATTCTGTTACAAGAGGTTTCCAGTGTGTGAGACAGGATTCTTCCAAAGTCCTGCCTGGAGTGTAAGTTGTGTATCCATCACACTTTCTCAAATATATGTATAACACATAAATTGAGCATGAAACACAAATACAGCATTTTCCTTTATAATATTTTGAAACAGTGCATGGAGAAAGATTAGGTCAATCTTTCTCCATGCACTGTTTCAATATATTGTAAAGGAAAATGCTGTATTTGTGCTCCTCTGCATGATCTCAAAGCTCATGCAGAGGAGAAAGCCCACCTTTAGTACATTTCACTTATAATGATAAATGTAATTTGACGAAACCTGTTTTAATTGGTCCCACGCCACTACCTCTATCACAGTGAATGAAGACACATGGTGTGAGTAGGAATATAGAGAATATACTCAAGTTTTTTCATCTTCAGTGAAAAAGCCAGTGTTGCTTGTTGAGAAACCCTGCCAAGAAAATTAGAAATGCAGCAGGCTTTTTCATACTTGGGACATTTTCATGAAAAATACGCATTGAAAAACAAGATTTTATGTTTGTAAAACGACACAAATTGCTTTCCCTACATTTCCAAGTGCATGACTACGACTGTCTGGTCATTACAATAGGAAGAATGACATTGAAATTATTCATTCATACTTCATATTCTGCCAACTAGTTATCACTGCTTTGAAGCTGCTTTTTGGTTTGTTTTTTTTTAAATCACTTATTCCATTCTGTTTCTCCAGAGACTATCTGAGTTGTACTATGACATCCATCGCTCTTATCTAAAAGTAGCAGAAGTAGTGAATTCTGAGAAGCGCTTGTTTGGACGATACTACCGTGTGGCCTTTTATGGGCAGGTGAGTGGTTCATATATGTTTGAAAATCTACTATAGTGCTGTCATTATATTTGGGCTCTGGATCTATGGATTCAATCACTTACAGATTGGAAACAATTTTTAAAAAAATATTCAGATATTGAGCATCCACTTTTTTCATATCTAGGGTACAGAGGGTGGACTATATATATGTTTCCCTTTGTGATTTTACAGATAACACCCTTAAGTAAGATATAGTTAAAAAAACACATTAATCACTGGAATCCTATATATTATGGAATGTTGCATTCTCAATATGGTACTATGCAAATATATTTAGAAGAAAAAGTGGGTTTTTTTTCATGTCAGGAGCAACTTGAGAAACTGCAAGTTGCTTCTGGTGTGAAAGAATTCCCCAACTGCAGGAATGTTGCCCAGGAGGTGCCCAGATGTTTTAGCATCCTGTGGGAGGCTTCTCTCATGTCCTCACATGGGAAGATGGAGCTGACATAAGGAAGCTCACCCTGCTCCCCGGATTCAAACTGCCAACCTTTCAGTCAATAGTCCTTTCGACACAAGGGTTTAACTATTGTGCCACCAATGGGGGCTCCTAGAAAATGTGGGTTAGGAATCTTCAAGAGTATTTTATTCGAGGGAAAGTATATACAATATGAAGACAACATAAAACATTCTGCAAGAAACTGGATTTATTGCCACACTTTTAGGTAGAAGCCTGGGCTTTCTTATTGGAGAAACTGCACTTAGTAGGTCAAGTTGTTCTCTGATACAATGAGAGGGTGATTCATCGCCTTCTTTGCAGTAGCAACATCAATTCATGCCTTGTATCTTCAGATTCTCTGTATAACAAGAATACAAAGGTAATAGTGCAGTCACATCCCTAAAGATATGGACTGCAGCTAAGATCCCAGAGCAGGGATCCTGTTTTCAGAAGAAGAAAGCATGGAAATAACTTCATGTTACAGCACTTGTACCACAGATACATGTGGTCTCCAGAAATAAAAGTGCAAAACAATTTAAGCCATTACATTTTTTCCTGTGACCCAAAAATCCACATTCCTGTTCTACTTCCGTTTGTCATACACTTTCTGGCTTTGCTTCTTAGCTTGCCTCTGATTCTTTATAGTACGTTGTAGAGCAGTCTTGTACCATTCACTATTTCTGTTTATTTTGGTGCGGCATGAATTTATGCTTGACTCTCCTATATTGCAAGTGATGGAGGAGCAAGCATGCTCTTGAAGAATGCTTTTTGAGCAAGCAATTCAATTTAATCCTTTTTTTTAAAAAAAAAGTGTATAGAGAATAGATTGATCTGAGTCATTCTGCCCCCTAATTAGGTTTTAATGCAGAAATTTGCTCTTTTCTTCTTTTGATCTTATTCAAGGCTGTGGTAAGTCATCTATCCTTTCGCATGTTTTTTTATTTAATTCTTCTTACACATTGTCCTCCCTGTATAGTCTGAGTTAGTCTTAACTCTGACAGCTTTTTAATATTCATTGTGAGAGATGAAATAACTTTGCTTTTACTCATTTTTATGCTGCTCTGCATCTAGCAAAACTAATTCTTTTGTTCTGCTGCTTTAAAATACCAAAAAGATATTTGGTCCTGTGCTGTTCATACTTGAGGCCAAAATCTGTTCCCATTTCCAACGGAAGCAGCTTTGGGCCATGTTTTTTGTACATGCTCATTGCAAGCAATCATGGTGTTTCTGTAATGGCAAATTGAAGAAGGTGCCCATTGGTTTGTGAAATAACTTTAGATTTTGTAGCAAAAAGGGGGGAGAGCTATTTTTCTTCTTTTGTATTATCAATGCCACCATGCTATATCTTATGCTCCACGTGGCTCTTTAGCCCTTTAAAGAAGATCTTCAGGAGGCTTCACGGTTGAATCCTTCACCATGTGCCAGAACTTCTAATGGGGTTTTTGAATCTAAACAAATATGTTTTTATTACATCTTATTTTCTTGAAAGCCAGTCACATTTGGTAAACATGTAAAAAATAATTTAAAAAAACTCCCACAAGTATTAAAGATAACATATGAAATTAATCAGATGATAACTTGTATTGGCAAAATGATGGAAATGGTTTTAGAAGAGGCACTTAGCATCAAAGCACAGCTGAAACCATATCCCTTAACAATGTATTCTGGATCACTGACAAAAGGACTGTGCTCCTTGTAGCCACTTGCTGCATTTCAGTTGCCATGAAAAAGCAGAAAGATTCATTACATGCTAAATGAACATTGAGAAAGTGATCTTATATATGATGGTGTGTCTCGGGCAATTGTACTCTTTAAAGATGCAATACTGTATTTATTCACCTAAGAATAAACCCTATTAAGTTTTGGGGTTTTTTTTTCATGTCAGGAGTGACTTGAGAAACTGCAAGTCACTTCTGATGTGAGAGAATTGGATGTCTGCAAGGACATTGCCCAAGGGATGCCCAGATGTTTTACCATCTCTCATGTCCCTGTAAGAGAAGCTGGAGCTGACAGATGGGAGCTCACCCCGCTCCCTGGATTCGAACCACCAACCTTTCGGTCAGCAATCCTGCTGGCACAAGGCTTTAACCCATTGGGCCACTAGAGGCTCCTAGCCTATTAAGTTGAATGACACTAATTCCTGAGCAGACACATATAGAACTACACAGAAAATGAAAGAGGCAGCATCTTCAATTGAACCACACAATGAGTAACAAATTTTGTTTAGGATCAGAATTATATAGCCAAACAATAGACTGCCAGCAACATGACTGGAAGATATGTAGCACAGTATCACTCAGTCCATAGATGCTACAAAGGAAATAAACACTGACATTTTCAGTTTGTTTTTTTAAAGTCACCTTCTACCAGATATATTGATCTTGGTAAGGATTCATTATTATCATTAGCTGAAATTTAAAATTGGTTTCCATTTAAGGTCATTTTTTAAATTGATACACAGACTTTACTTCTATATTCCAGTTGCCATGTATCATTTACCAAAATGTAGACATCTCTATATAAAATGTATTCAGTTCCATTGGTGTTTACATTTCTAATAAGTTATATGTTCATGAGATGGTTGTTTTATTTTAATTTTGCAAAAAAAAAAAAAAAAAACAACCAACCACCCTGTGACACAGTGCAGATTTTGGAGTTTTTTATAGGACTCCTATAAAAATGCATCTTCAGGCCACTAAATTGATGATACAATTATTACGTAAGTACAGATTATCCATAACATATAACATAATACGAAGTCACACATATTTTTGCATCTCAGTTGCTTCTCTTGTAAGAGTATCTTGCTATCTTTGTGAGGTGAGGTGTTTATACTGAACAGCAGCCATCCACATTAAAAGATGTGAAAATGCTCATGGAAAAGTTCTTGGTTCACCTAAGTAGGGTTTATAGTGGAAATACACATTGTGATGCTATTTTGCAGGGTATAACAAAGCTCTCATACATGTGAAATTCATGTAAGCATCAAAAATCCAGAAAGCATTCGATTTCAGCTGCATGTTTTCTAGCTACAGCTAATTGTGATTTAACTCCCATTAAAAACAGTGAAAGAACTGCTGGATTGAAATCAAGTGTGATTTTGTTCATAATTGTGCCCATTGTGGCTTTACCTTACTAGAAGGTTGTTAACATTATGCATTTCTAGATGGATCTTTTTGCTGACTGAATGTAAATTCTGCTTAGTTGGAATGAATTAGCTACATAGCTCATAATCTTCTTCTACGGCATAGTTCAATGAAAATTTTGCGCCTTTCCCAACTGTAGTTTTGACTAAACTTTAATCAATGATTGAACAAAATAAAAATAAACACTTTATTTTTTCCAAATTTACCTGCCTTTTCATATCCCCTGTGCCAGTTACTAGATTGTACCACATGGTGGCACACTATCCCCATGGATGCGCATAACACTCTGAGAGATACTTTGCTCTTCAAAGACATTTTGTCCCACTATCAGAGGTTCAGATTCATCCTGTGCTAATACAGAGTTTGGTTTTTAACGCATTCCATTCCTTCATTACACTGATGCATTAAGATAAGCCAGTGTTTTCTGTATTTGAGCAAATGAGGTACGTTGCGCCTTCCATCCGCAGTGTATTGTGCATTGCTTGAATATAAGATATTTGATTTACTTGCTTTGCTTTAATTGTTATACTTTTGTGTTTTAACCAGGGCTTTTTTGAGGAGGAAGAGGGTAAAGAATATATCTACAAAGAACCCAAATTAACAGGCCTGTCTGAGATTTCGCAGAGACTGCTGAAACTTTATGCAGATAAGTTTGGAGCAGACAATGTAAAAATAATTCAAGATTCCAACAAGGTACAAAACAGAAAGGGAATGAATGAACGAATGAATGAATAGATGTTACACAGGCCAATGAAGTTGTGTTGTGCTGTATAGGCTATCATTTTTATTACGTTCTATTTAATTATTTGAAAATCTTGTTTTGTTGTTATAAGTTTTTATATTGTTTTGTTTATTGGTTTTAGTTTGGCTGTTTATTGGTTATTGTTCATCTTTGGCATTGAATGTTTGCCATTTTTCTATTGGAAACCGCCCTGAGTCCCCTCAGGGAGATAGGTCAGGTTACAAATAAAGTTTTATTTTCAAGTTATTTGTGCTACTAATTCTAATCAGCTTGGCATAGACTACAAATCTGGACACCAGTGTTTACCCTGCTCAGTCATGAAACTCATTGTGTGTGACACTCTAAGCCCCAGAATTCATGATGGGTCATCACAAACAGAAATGACTTGAAGGCACACAACAGCAGCCAAATGTTAGCAGTCAGAGTGCTACTCTCTGTACGCATGCAACAGTTCATAGCACTTAACTGAAAATGTCAACATTTGTGCTAACTGATAAATAAACCCTTCACACTTTTATTCATAATTGCTTTATGCTATTATTAGGGATCATAAAACTAACAAGGATAATTAAGGCAATCTGTCTGCACACTTAAGGGCTGTCTGCATTATTTGTTCCCCTTCACCTCTTGGTAACACACAGGCAGCTTCACAAAATGGGAGACCAGTCAACAACTCTTATTTATCCAAACAGCCACCCTCAGATTGCTTGAATAAATAACAATTTAAAGTTGAAAGTTAGGTGGTGGGAGTATGTGTTTAGAGATTAGCCATCTCCACGACTACTTTCTATTTGTGTTTATAATACACATCTCTGTTTGAAAAATGTGTAATAATATGGATGAAAGTATTTTTATAAAACGTTAAAATATAATGAGATATGAAATTATTTCAAGCAACTCATTTATTTTTTGATGACTTAAGGTTTTGGTCAAATGCAAGTGGAAATAGAAAGGCCCTTTCCTGAAACCAATGACTCTACAGAGACGTCCAATACAATGGCCTGACTCATTGCTTCTTCAATAATCTGTGTACTTCCCCTTTGTTGTGAGAGGTTTTCTCTTGCTTGCTTTGCATCCTTTAGTTTCCCAATTTTATCTTTTCTAGTCCGTCAGTGTTGTTGTTGTCTTTAATTCATTCCTGACCTATGTTGACTCTAATTTGGAAGCTATCACAGGGATTTTCTTGGCAAAATTTGTTCATATTCAGATTATATATGCATCCTGTCAACTGGAAAGGCTAGAAAAATGTTTACCATTTTCCAAGAGCCATAATCCTTGTCCACATTTATTAAAAGCCTGGTTTTTCCATCTTTTCTTTGACTCATTTGCCAGTTTTTCTGTCATTAATTAGTGTTCAGTAGGATTTCCTGTTAAGATGTCAATTCTTTCATCTCATTCACAATATCACAGGTTAACCCCAAGGACTTGGATCCAAAATATGCTTATATCCAAGTGACATATGTTACACCCTACTTTGAAGAGAAGGAGTCTGAAGAGCGGAAGACTGACTTTGAAATGCATCACAATATCAATCGCTTTGTATTTGAAACACCATTCACTCTGTCAGGAAAGAAGCATGGAGGAGTAGAAGAGCAATGCAAGAGACGGACTATTCTGACAAGTAGGGACATTTCTGCATTATTTGATGTATGAAGGAGAGATTGAATGTCTGCTCTGAAACTGCTGAAGGCTTTCCCCAGGAGCATTTCATTTCTAAATGGAATTTCACATCTTTACACATTTTTGTGCATTTCTTTTTTTCACCTAAATTCCCTGAAGGTTGGATCTTGGAAGCTAAGGAGAATCAGCTCTGATTAATACTTGGATGGGGGTCCACCAAGCACTTCCTGGTGCTGAAGCCTAAATTTCAGAGGAAGGACCTTGTAAAACCATCTCTGAGTATTCCTTGCCTAAGAAAACTATATTAAATTAATGGGATAGCCATAAATCAACAGACCACATGAAGGCATGTGCATATGCACATACTTTCTTGGCCATAGTTCTTATATTGCTCTCAGAAAAGTTAATATGGGAGGGGCAAGTATGTGTACACATTATGAGAAGATGTCTATCATGATTTCTTTATTGGTTCTTTCTTTAGCTCCTGGGTGAATAATTAATTAATACTACTGGCAGATTTTATAAAATAATTTTATCATATGTACATATATGAAAGACTTTGATAAATGCATGCAAACAGTAATGATGTTTATATACTTATTTGTAGGTATTTAGAAATATATTGGAGGTTCATTATGGATTATTTATGCATGCTCAGTGCTAACAATCACTACATTGTAATTGTAAATAATATCATATTCTTAGACTGAAGGAGAGAACTGATGATCATATATGGCAAGACATAGCAAATTAGTAAACAAAGCTAAGAGATGGTCGCTTGTGTTGTTTGTTGACTGTTCTGAACAAATCAGTGGGGAAATTTTCCTTAAATGTATCTCCCTTTGTTCTTGCATGCAGCCAGCCATTTGTTTCCATATGTGAAGAAGAGAATACAAGTTGTAAGCCAAACAAGCACAGAATTAAACCCCATTGAAGTGGCCATTGATGAGATGTCTAAAAAGATTTCAGAACTCAATCAGCTTTGCACAATGGAAGAAGTAGACATGATTAGGCTCCAACTGAAACTACAAGGAAGTGTCAGTGTCAAGGTAAATCAATTTCAGCCATTCATTCAGGTTTACAGCATTAGCTGGTGGCTTCCAAGGTAGTAGGCAGTGAACATATTCAAAATATTAATCCAAATTTTAAAGAAGCTGTTAAAGGCACTGAATATATTTTAAGGAAAAGATTCATATCTTGGATAGTTTTGTCCTTTCTTTGTGTCAGGAGTGACTTGAGAAACTGCAAGTCACTTCTAGTGTGAGAGAATTGGCCGTTTGCAAGGACATTGCCCAGGGGATGCCCAGATGCTTTACCATCCTGTGGGAGGCTTCTCTCATGCTCCTGCATAGGAAGCTGGAGCTGACAGATGGGATCTTACCCTGCTCCCCTGATTTGAACCGCTGACCTTTCAGTCAGCAGTCCTGCCAGCACAAGGGTTTAACTCATTGCGCCACTGGGGAATTTGTGCAGTTCAGAATGGATTTGCCACCTCAATCTCATGGAATCCAGTGTATACACTAGACATGTATGCATTTTTGTTCTCTTGTTATATGCTTTCTTGTTACTAGCCAAAGTCCACTACAATCCTAAGATAACTAAATAAGCAAATAGAACACCTGAAATAAACATCTGGTTTTCCTGCACAGAAATTGTTGTTTTATCAGTACTCATTGAAGTATCCAAATGAGAGGAAGACAACAATGACCTGTTCCTTCTTTTAGTTCCCTTTGTAACCAGCACTAGGATTTTGAGCTTTGTTGGATTTCAATGAAACCATTCTTATCCAGATTTAAACCAAAGCTGTGCAGACTCAAAAAAAGGGCAGTTCCAAGACATAAATTATTTTTTCCATGTTCAAAACCTAGTTGAATTGTTCAATGCTGATGATGGAACAACATCCCCACCATATCTAAAGACCCAAAATGCAGGCAATCTGACAAATACCTCTCTCATTTATTGGCTCCGTTCATTGAAGCAGCAGGCTTAAATCTGGAAAAGAGTAATCATTTATTTGAAATTCAAAAAAATGACAGCAATTGTTGTTATTTGAATTGGTGTTATGTTGACAGCCCAATTTATAGTAGGTAGCTGGATGAGATTTTGGGAGGTGGTGGGGGGGGGGGTGGCTTTCATGGATGAAGCAAGTGAAAGATTAGTATCTAACTCTGCCAGATGAAGGTGATCATACATACCACATTTGCACAAGCAAAGTAAAAAAAAATCTATACTTCAAAAGATTTGTTCTTCATTTTAATGCACAATGCTTTATCTTGCAGGTGAATGCAGGCCCAATGGCTTATGCTCGAGCTTTCCTTGAAGAAACAAATGCTAAGAAGTACCCAGATAACCAAGTTAAACTTCTGAAAGAAATCTTCAGGTAAGCTTTTGAATTCCAGAAATAGCAAATAAATCCTGGCAACACATCTATAGCTATGATCATAGAGAACTATATTTTTCTGTTCATGTAGAGAGGGGAGAGGGGGAAAAGATTCAACTGCACACCTCCAACCATGATCAAACTGCTTAATTTATCTTTAGATAGCAGTGCACATTTTCCCACTTAGATTATTGTATTCTCTTGTGTTATGTAGGCAGTTTGCGGAAGCATGTGGCCATGCTCTTGAAGTTAACGAACGTCTTATTAAGGAGGATCAACTGGAGTATCAGGAAGAAATGAAATCTCATTATAAGGACATGCTCAGTGAGCTCTCTGAAGTTATGAATGAACAGGTTAGTGAATGAATACATCTGTAACGTCTTTATGGTCTATAGCAGGCATCCTCAAACTGCAGCCAGCCAGCCGTTTGGGCCTCCAACTTCCAGAATTCCTGACCATTGAACAAGTTGGCTAGGGCTTCTTGGAGTTGAAGACCCAAACAGCTAGAGGATCACAGTTTGAGGATGCCTGGTCTACAGGATCATACAGATGTCCTTTTAAGGGGGTTTTATTGTCTTACTCTAACTAGAGTTTCCCTCCATTTCTAGTTTGTGTACTTGTCCAACATGTTTTATTAGGAAGCTTTAGAATTATTATTACCCAGCTAATTATATTGATGCCTAATCTATTTATTAGCTAATCCTTGGGTCATTCATGTTTAGACTCTACAAAGTCACATATCGTGATTGTTATCACATCGGTTTCATAGGCTACATTGACTGATTGAATGCGCTCTGACATTAAATGCAAAGATAAACAAACTGCAGGCTGCATGATGTGGTCACAGTTACCAACAATAGTAAAAGCTGTCACTTTTTTAGAGGGAGGTATGAAAAAAGTGTATACCTTTTTTAATCTGAAACTAGTGTTCATCCTTAAAATGAGGCATGTGCTTCTCACACACTTCATTTAAATTGAAAGTGCTCCCTTTTTGCCAATATTGTACCATTAAATTCAGATTAGAAATGCAAATTTCCACTGCACTCACTCTTAATCACAGAGGTTACCAACCCCCGTGGTCAGTGAATTTACTATACTAAAAAAAAAGAATAATATAGGATTATTAATACTCTGCTAATTATATCAAACCAGCAGATACTGTCCGATTTTGGAAGCTAAGGACCAGCTTTGTTAGTACTTGGAGGAAAAATCACCAACAAATCCCAGGTGCTGTAGGCTATATGAAATTCATATAGTTGCTATAAGTTAACAGGTGACCTGAAAGCACATATATACACATAAGGAGATATGCCACTAGTTGGTTGTAATAATAGCACACTGATTCTGTTCAATTGGTCCTGAAAATGAGGGGAAAACATATTGAAAAATCCAGAACAGGGCAACCATATCTTAAATCATCCAGGAAATTTTACAACAGTTAAGTGCTCTACCAGGTATGACATTATACAATAAGGGGACCATTGAATTTTGCTTGGTGGTAATATCACCTTTAAAAAACATCTCCCACATGAGATAGAGCTCCGTGGATTGAGAACACACAGCTAACCCTAAAGAACTGCTGCCTTCCAAATAAACCACATCAATTGACTTTTGACTTCATATCCTTCATATATACCAGGGGAACATGGACTTTGGATGTTCTAGTCTGATGAAAGAGCTCAAATCTCCAATGCTGGATTGTCCCATCTTCAAATCTTGGGCACAGCTCCATACCAGCATAGATTGGGGGAGCTCATGGTCTAATAGCCTAGCTCCTCCATTGGCTAATCAAGCCATTTAGTGCATCCATACCATTTTAATCTCATGCCCCACTATTTTATTTCAGATATTTCAGGTTGTACCCCAGTCAACATGATTGTCCTTGCAATCCCAGATACCCATTTCAGCCTCATATGCTTGTCAAGCAAGACCTCTGTTCTCTATGTGTCCTTTCATAATTTGAAACATGTGATATGTCAAGGGATGATTACATGCCTACATGACTGAACCCTTCATCTTCACTTCATGTGGGAAATCGCACCTCTAATCACATGCATCCCTGTTCAATCTGTAAATCAATTGTGCAAATGCATATGGGAAATTCTCTTGTTGTGATTTAACCATATTTCACCATTAACTGTATTTTTTGTTTGGATGATGGGGTTCAATGTGTTCTCATTGTCCACATTGTTTGTGTCTCCACTGATAATGGCATCTTCATCAACATGTTTTTCTCTTTTTCTGGCAGCTCTGTCATGGTCAGTGCTTATACAACTTCTCTGCTTCACTGTCTAATATTTCCCTCAATACTATAGCAAAAAGTGGTATGTTTTGTTTTCTTTATGTCTACATTTATCTTCACTGTCACATATTCTCAACTCCTAGTCTTCTGTCCTATCTGATCTGTCTGCAAGACATTCTTGTTTTAAGACTTCATTGACTAAGCAATGTCCTATTTCCACTGTTCCCATTCAATACAACAATTTAAAATTTTCACATAGTGAATATTCCGAATATACTAGCACACACAGACATACTTTTCCTGACATGGTAGCAAGGACATGGTAGCTCCTTTATGATTAACTATGTTACAGCTCTATCCATTAAGGGTAGAAATTATGACAATCCTGAAGTTGAAATATGTTTTACTGCCTTCCTGCTATCTTGATTCAGCAAACTTGGATTCTAGGAAAGCAGGGAATAAGATTATCAAAATGCAACAAAATACTTGTATTCCTGGGTTGTTGTCAGTTTTTCAGGCTGTAAGGCCATGTCCCAGAAGCATTCTCTCCTGATATTTCACCTGCATCTATGCCAGGCATCCTAAGAGGTTGTGAGGTCTGTTGGAAACTAGGAAAATTGAGTTTATATATCTGTGAAATGTCCAGGGTGGGAGAAATAACTCTTGTCTGTTTGGGATAGGTGTGAATGTTTTGGTTAGCCACCCTGATTAGCATTTAATGTGGGAGAAACATCAGGAGAAAATGCTTCTGGAACATAGCCATATGACCCAGAAAACTTAGAGCAAGCCAGTGATTCTGGCCATGAAAGTCTTCAACAATACTTGTATTACTTTTAATACTGTAAGTGCTGAATCATTAACAGGTACAATACTTGGACATGTATTTCAGTTCAGACATTGAATGTGTTACAATATTACTAATTTCCACACATGTCCACTTATTTCATCACCTTTTAAATCTTCTTTTCTTTTTTTAAGATCACATGCAAGGAGGATTCTACAAAGCAACAAGGAGTGGAACAACCTTTTTCCCATGTAATCAGTAGAACAATCGCAGCCCCACTTGGACCAGTGGTATCCTCAAATACTGACATTTGATGCTGCATTTGACTTTAAACAGAGCACTAGGGAACTTTGAGATTTTTTTAAAAAATAACAGTGTAGGTGAATCATGAAGGATTCCACAAAAATGAAATGCGGTGCATTGTTTTTATTTATTGAATATTTTCAGTGATTTTTTTAATTTTCAGGGTTTTTTAATGTTATTGCCTTTCCTGATATTTGCACATTTCCTATGGTTTTCTTCATTATGGGCCAGTCTTTATTAAACAGACTGAAAACAAAATTTCCATTCAGTGTTTAGTTTCACAGCAAGCCTTTTGTTTGCCATAAATGATAATATAATCTAATACAAGTCCTAGTATACATATATTTTAAAGGTCAAAAGTGGATGTTTTATAACATTTAAGTATATTGTAATTGTAAATAGAAGATGTGTAAAATATGTCATTTTTACAACATTTTTAGTTAATGATTGACATGACTAAAATGTGGATAACATTTCAAATACCACTATATTAAAATATTTGTCTATGTGCAAAACAGTTATCTATGAATACTTCTTGGTGATCCTGGAAACAGCACATGTGCTTGAGGGTCTGCTCCTGAAAAAAGCTTGTTTGTTACTTTTGGACTGAAACTCCCAGAGTCCCCAGGTCCCCAGAGTCCCCCAGTGAACATGCTGGCTGGGGGATTCTTGGAGATGCAATTCCAAAAAGTAATTTTTCAAAGCTCTAGTTCTGACTAGGGTGTCAAGTTGCTATTTTAGCTATTCTCTAAATTGTTTGTAAGTATACCTAGTGCAGTGGTTCCCAGCCTTTTTTTTTTTTTTACCAGGAACCACTTGACCAGGGAACATTCTTCAACATTAGTATGAAAATGGTTACGAATCAGTTTTTGGTCAACTTTAGATTCAGTTTGGTTATTTGGAGTGCTAATTCAGACAATTGCATTGGATAGACCACATCAGCTCTAGTTTCTGATGCAGAGCATATTCTGATACATTTGCTTGCCCACAGTAAACTTATTTATTTATCTAGAGCTGATTTAGTCTATTCAATGCAATTTTCTTAATCAGTACCCCAAATAACCCCAGGTACAGGTCTAAAAGAAAGACACCAAGGCACCCACACTTCAAAGTGCCACATGGAACAACTCCAGTGGGTAGTCATCCTCTCCCTTCCCAACACCCTTGTTGCCTCAGCACTATAAAGAGGGTTTCACAATACCAGTCACTATCATTGTAACGGTGTAGTAACAGTGAGGCTGTGGTGAGTGGTTCTTGGGGACCACTGGTGGCCCATGGACCACAGGTTGAGAACCACTGATCTAGTGTGTGGAGAAATGTGCATTTCTGGTGGAGGGTAAGATTGTATGTGCCAGGACACACGAGATACAGTACACATGCCTTTTAAAAAAAACTGGGCAAAGAGTGTGTAGCTAAATATGCTATAGGAGGAGTAAGTGGAGGCATGTATATGAGACCTTAGAAAGTTCTAGTTTTGAACTACAAACCCCAGCATCCCCTAATCAGTATGGGTAGAGGTTGAAGAACTGGAATGAATGTTCAACCTTTACTGAATACAATATAGAGTGGAAAGGCTTTACTCCTACCTCATTTTTGTTGGCACATTGCTCACAATGTGTTGAATCTAAACTTAATTCATGAGTATAGCAGACCTATTCAACTGAGTTAAATTGTTTATGACTAATTTGTCATTATGGTGTGAATGGTCCTTCTCTAATTCTTACCCATAACACAAATGCTCAACTACACAATGGCTTCATTTCCCATTGCTATTCCTGTGGTTGCTTAGCTTACTTGGTGTAATTATAGATAATTATTCCATCTTTCACCTCTATAATATACACTGTTGAGTGACATGCTCAGTTTAATGAAAAACAGCCATTTCTCACTATCAACATCATGCACATGCTACAATGAAAGGAGCGCATATATTGAGAATATTTTTCCTCCTTTAAGATTCAATCATGGAAAAGTTTACGGGGGGCACAGTCTTCTACCATCAATGTAACTTTTTAGCGGTTGTTGTTTTCCTCTAAGAGCTTCAAGGGTAGCCATTCCCAAAGGAGTTGTTCTCCCAGTGCTTAGAACTACAGCTCTTGCCATACCCCAGCCAGTATAACATTGCAATATTTCTTGGTCTGTAACTCGAGTTTTAATCCAAACCATGAAAAGGGGAACAGACTAGGGAAGGCTAATCTGGGAAATGCACGTTTCTTGATCCGTCGACAAGTAAGAGGACATGAACACCATTGAGGTGGATATGTCCACAGAGCTATAATGCCAACTTCATTTTGCACATTTTCCCATCAAAATGTGCATCCAAGACAACATTGCTTTCAGACATTTTTTCACTTCCAACAATCTTTAGAGACTTTAAACGTAATATCATTATTAATGGTTTTAAACTAGAAGCTGGCATTAGATCTAGCATGGATGTACTAGAACTGGTCCTGAGCATGTTTATCTTGGAGACACTTAAGAGACAACATAATAGTTATGTTTGAATATTTGAAAGGATGATATATTGAAGATGGCGTAAGCTTGTTTTGGCTGCACCTTTGGACTGGAAGGTCCTGGTGGTGTCTTCTAATTCTAGTTCTGATTCTTGGCAGTGAACAACATTATTATTCCAGTGGTTATTTTTCAAGTGATTTGGACCTGCAACGGTCACCCTGTGTTTATCAGGAACTGCACTCATACAATCTTTTGGGGGCAGAATTTAAACATACGCATGATCTTTTCATTCTTATTGTCTACAAAGCACAGCAAGTTATATAATACCTACACAAGCCAAATTTTGCTGGCATTACTGATGGAATAATCTTTTTTACTGAATACCAGCTGGTGGGCTATAGAGCACTTTGTGCAATCTATTTGAGAATAATTTCCTTTGAATAAAGATGCAAATTTGATGGATATCTACAAATAATGAAACTTAATAGTAACTATGATTTAAAAGCTTGATGTAAAAACAGTGCTTCGAGTCAAGCCCAAGTCAAAAACAACTTTGCATATTGAAGTTCCATTTTTTTCTGCCAGGTAGGTAAAATATTACCTTGAAATGCTAACCTGTACCTTGTATGTTCAAAGACATGTGTTCCATTCTCTGTTCCACCTGGATGCTTCCATTGCCATATTGAAATACGATGGATGGTTTTGATTATAAAATTATTTTAAAAGTTTATTGCATCATTTATAATGGGCTGTACTGTTTTTCATCACTTATGCACTCAGATAAAAATATAATGACAGTTATGGTCAAATTTCAAGTCATTCAAGCCATGAAGGCAATTACAGCTTGGAACGTCTTTCATTAAGTTCACATTTTCTTCCCAGTGGTTACCCTTGTAGTTTGGAACTGATGAGACTTTCTGTCAAACTCTAGCATTGATTACTGTCGTGTGTCCATAAAAAAGACCCTAGTAGTGCGTGTGTGCGTGCACACGCACATATATACTATAGATTCATATTCCTATGGCCAGGAATTGGACATATAGTTAAGATACGTATAACTGGGAAATTAAAATAACAATGTTCTGGAACCTGAAAAATGTTGACCTTAAGAAAGGAACAGAATGGGAGTATGCAGTAGAAGAACTACTGCGTCCACTGCATTATTATTATTATTATTATTATTATTATTATTATTATTATTATTATTTCCATTATTATTATTTCCATTATATCCTGGACCTTGGTCTCACTAACTTGAGCAGTGGTTGAGATGTTTTTAATTGTTTTATACCATATAATTCTGGTTTTAAAGGATGATGTCTGTCTTTTAATTTAATACGTTTTGTTTACTTTTCACTTTTATAGACTGTTTAGTTACTTGTGTTGATTCTATTTAAATTAGTTATTGGTTTATTGGTTTATTATCATTTTATTTTGATTATTGTTGTGTTATTTACACTGTTGTAAGCTGCTCTGAGTCCCCTCTGGAAGATGGGGTACGGTATAAATAAAGTTTTGTCGAAGGCTTTCATGGCCGGAATCACTGGGCTGATGTAGGTTTTTGGACTGTATGGTCATGTTCTAGAAGCATTCTCTCCTGATGTTTTGCCTGCATCTGTGGCAGGCATCCATATATATATATATATATATATACACAATTTTCCTAGTTTCCAACAGATCTCACAACCTCTGTGGAAGATGCCTGCCATAGATGCAGGTCAAACATCAGGAGAGAATACTTTTAGAACATGGCCCGAAAAACCTGAGAAACCTACAACAATCCATAAATAAATTGTTGTTGTTGCTGTTGTCCCACTTTTCTCCTGATAATGGGACTCAGGGTGATTAGCAATACTGAAGGTAGTGAAACCACATCTGCTGGCTCATAGGTACTAGCTAGAAACCTTCAAAGCATACTGATAAAAAGACACAGTCTACTTACATTACATAATGATATGCTATAGATCTGTACTTTGAGGGGCACTTGCAATTCTCTGTTATAGTATATTAACCTAGCATGTAATTCATGGTGTCCCCTAGCATATTTTTTTAAATATCCTTAGAATACTATAGTGATGTAACTGTTGATGCCAGAAAATCTCAAATCCTTCACATCAGGGAGCTGTGTCCACACATAGATCTCCCTGGATATTTACCCAGGAAGACAAAAGTCCAAAATATCTTGGGGGACCTCAGTCACCCTTCCTTAATGACTCTCCTTCTTAGTTCCTTTTTCCAAATGGGAATTATTACTTTGTTATAATTGCTGAATATCTATATTTCCTTTCATCCAAACAACTCAAGAAAGTTTGTGTGTTCTGTGCATATTATTTAAGTTTCCAACAAACCTGTTGAGGAAGTTTGATAGAGAGTGCCCTGAGGACCAGAATAATGTCCTTGAAGGCCAAATGCTGCCTCCAAGCGTCATTTTGCCCACTTTGGTTTAAACTTTGCCCTTGTTTATCCAACGATCTGCTTCCTGAAACAGCATCTTCAGCATGTGATAAAAGTTCCACCAATCCTGAGAGTAGAGTGAATATATTATCTCTTATTGGTTGCCTATTGCTTGCAATTAGAGGCAATTGCTTAGTTAAAAAAAACAGGGAAGGATGGAAGAGAAAACTACAGCTGGAGCGCAGTAGAGAATTGGACATATCAGAGGTTCTTACTGTAGAGCACTCTGACTTCAAAGGCAGGATTTACTGATAAGTTAAAAATAGTTGAAAGCCTTTAATAATTTCAAGTATTTTAAAGATCTTCTATTTCCTTCTCCACAATTCCATGAAGTTAACATTTTGACAAGATTATCACTTTCTAATGTAGTAATTTTTTTTCCTGTTTCCACCACTTGGACTGTGTGCCTCCTTTGAAATGGAAATAGTTAAGCAGAAAGATGTGCTTCATTTCTCAGTTCATTTCTCAGTTCTCATGTCAGAAGAGTGACATAAAAATACTATAGCAGAAAAACAGACACTCTCTAGAGAGCTTTTGGTTGTACAGTCAAAAAATGAGCAACAAAGCAATGCTTAACCTGATGTTCACTTTTTCTCTTCTATCCTCA